ATCATGAAAAAAAGGTTTATTGACAACCGTATAGTCTGAATCTGAGAGCTCCTACAGTAAAAAGAGTGAATAAACATTGTTTAAGTTACTTCTAAGAGAAAATATGGTAACATTTTTCAGAGAAATACTAATTTGATTTCTTATTCAGTGTTAGAGAAGTAAAGAAAACCCACTACCATGTCTGTTTGGTAATTAAGAAACAGCTGAAGCTAGCTTAACTTACTACAAAGACTGAACAAAGAGGCAGTTAGCATGTAGCCTTGACTTTATCAAGGTTGCTGAGTATTTTCACTCAAATTTTACAGCTTAGAGAGTCAAACTTGGACTAAAAGGAGGATTTGTGAGTTTGTGTAGGTAGAGGTTGCTATCTTTGGAAAAAATTAAACTAGTCCTGTTTTCAGTCTTCACACCAAACAGGGCTAACTGGCTGCTGGCTGTAGTTATGGCCAATTTGGAAAATGATATAATTCTTCTAGTTGTATAACTTTAATTATTTCAATCTATAACTGTTATTTATGGTTTGAAATGTGTTGGTTTTCAAAGTTGTGATGGTTTAGTGCCAAAAAACTAACTATCAGGATGTTTCACATATTTCTCATATTATGTTCCTTATCAAACTTATTCCACTACTTTGAGTAAAGTTTTTGTTGGAGTCTGTATGAAAAACCTTCAAACCCCCACACATTCCACTTCTCTATAGCTGCGTTGGCCTAGTGCAGACAGACTTATCAGCCAGCTCATTTTTATTATCACTGGCAGGAGGGCCCTGCTGCTTTTCTAAATGATTTACCTCCTTGCTACAGAAAGGGAAGTTGTTTAGAGCCCTTAAGTTTGGAAAAGGAGGCAGGCTCTATAAGATAACAACACAGGACAGCCACTCCTGCCTTTTTTTAACAACCAAGACAGCCATAGGGAGGTTCGTTAAATTGTGGTTGAACTAGATTCTCTAATTTTAATAAAAGAAGAAGTAAAAGCTGCATTTACACCATTCACTTGAAGAGGCAGTTTTTCTCCTCTGTATGCCACTGCCTATTGGCATTCCGTGTTATCACACTGATACTCTATGAGGCATGTCCACATGCAGCTTTTGCTAAAGCCCCCGGAGAAAAGAAATAAATTAAATGGATCACTTTTTAGATTAAATCAATTTTCTCATAGAACTACATTCATACTTTTATACAACTGATTTTTAAATTTAGGAAAATGTACAAAATTTATTGATATACTTATTTATGTATATATCGATTTATTTCAAGTATAATTATATCTTTGTTAAAGTGGTGAGGGGCTATAATTTCTTGGTTCTCTTAATAAGCGCTTCAAATAACTTCCCTATCTGTCCTCATGTTAAAGACCAGAGTAAACTACATCTGAGCACCGATTAAATCTGCTGTCCTTGTCAAATTTCTGGCCCCACAGAAATGAACAGTGCATGCTCAGTCATTCCTGTGTAGCATTTTGAAATTTCTATAATAGAATTCTCAGCTATCAAAAAACTTAAAAAATATCTGAATGGTACCGTAATCCTGAAATACATTAATTAGAATTACAACTGCTGCAAAACACTGATATTTTTAATCTTTGGATATCTGTGGGTGAAGGCTATACTACCTTATCCCTAAACCGTACATTTGAACAACCAAGCAAATAGCCCAGTCACCAAACTCTGTACTGATATGTGAAAGGAGATACAGAATACTAGCAGCTACTCTTACTTGGCTAAATGCATTTTTTTCTTGTACATGTGTGAGTAGTAGTTTCTTTAGACCACTCATCTTCGGTTGTCCTTGAAAGGTAAATCTCAAAATTCCCTGCATGACACCTACAGGGACAACAGTAAAAAGTATTCAAAATAATAAAGCTTGCTGCTGATAGTCCTGTTCACTCTTTTTGGGGTTAAACGGGGGCACATTTGGAAATACTAACTGGTGGCAGGTCAGAAATTAAGTAGGTTATAATAACAGCTTGATTGATTCATGTTTTTGTTTTCAAAATTCTCATTTTCTTACGTTTTATCAACAGTCGATGTTGCTCAGCACCTTCGAGATCTACAACGCATCATCAACCCCCAAGCCCCAGAGTGAGTACAACTTTTTTACTTTTGTACAAGTTAATATGAATACCACACTGCTATTTTTGTATCAGTCTGAAAGGGTTTTTATTTTTTTTCAAAGTTTTGCAAATCACATTTGAAAATCTTTTTGGGGTTAAACGGGGGCACCTGTATTAATTCTGTTTCTGGACTGGCTAAAAAGTCTTGATTTATGCTAAGTTTAAGCCAAATGAGCGTCCCCTCCCTCTTTTATTAAAAGATAACATTTATTTATGGCTTGAGAGCTCTTCATGCTTTTAAGAAAAAACAAAAAAGACTTTCTGTTTTGTTTAAAAGAGCTGTGTCATCTATGTTCACACCAAAAAGTGGATCAAAAATATAAACACACCCAAAAAGAAACCCCCTGTTTAAAACTGAAGGTCATAATAAACAACCTACTTTATCGTCAATTAAATCAAATCTGGGACTGTTCATTTCCTCTCTGTCTCTGATATCCTGCTCTGTTGGCGCCTTTTATCTACAGTCCTCTCCAAAAACTTGCTACAAGTTTGGCCATCAACAGTTTCTCTATGAATTACTGCTTCCTGCTAAAAGAAGGCCTGGCACGCCAACAATGCCAGGAAAAAGTAGCTGCTGTTACGGTCAGGCTCTTGTATTTCTTTTCAAATGAAGGACTTGAGTGTGAGAGTGTGTTTGTCAGAGGGCAGCTTCCCACGTCATCATGTTTGACTGAGACTGAAGCATCAAAGAGACACTGAGAGAAAACGTCAGGAGAAGGACAGGAGCCATTGTCCTCCTGGCCTCTGGTGCACAGGAAAACCCTGTTCATGATCCTATAAAAAATGTTTGGGTACGTTTATGGAGGGGGCAGCTCACGGCACGTGTTCTCCAATGGCCTGAAAGTTTACACAACAGAAACCATCAAGTGTTGCCAATATCAACATCTCGATGATATCAAGTAGGGACTTTTCCATGAACATTTCAACCTTCAACTTTATCTCATGACATGACCTTATATTTTTAGTGAGGAAAAAACATCGAAACTCCTAAAATATTTTCTTAAAACACTTAAAGTTAAATTGAACATTTGAAGCAGGACCCTTAAATTCTACAAAGGCTGACATTTTTTATTATTATGTGCTTTTAACGTATTTGAAGACATATTGAGACATTAAGTCTGTTTTTATGATTAAGGAAAGCAAGCAAGACTGTTATCACTAAGGTGAGGGTTTTTTTCTAATGCTTTTATAAACTGCTAAGTGGTCAGTGAGTCACACCACAATAATGCAACTCTTTTGTTCTCTACATTCAACAACAACAAAAAAAACTAGATGAGTGATTTTAAAAAAAAAAATTTTATGGAAGAGTATTTTGGCCAGAGATGATCAAAAAGTAATAAGTGGAGGGAGTTTGTTTCTGAGAGATGGTGTCACACTTTAGCATGATAATATTTCCAGGTTGAACATCTTTCATTAAAGACACTCTCCTAGTTTAGTGTTAACTCCTTGTCATTGCTCTTGGAGAGGTTTCTCTTTTGCCTTACAACCATTATTTTCTCTTACTTCTATTTCAAGCAACCGATCAAAAACCTTTCTCAGATTTGTGTTTCAACCACAAAGGAAACAGAGTAATCTGAATTTTGTGTCTTTATATTTTTTGTATGTATGTTTCAGAAGTGTCTGTAACACTGGAATGAAATGCAATGGTTAATTGTACAATACTCCAGGGTCCAAGGGAAAATAAAACTGTTTTTTTTTATATATATACAAAGAAAAACATGGTCATTTTCACATTTGTTGTAACTAGGGCTGTCAGTGTCAGCAGGTTAATATTTTTCTAGTGTTGCTCTATTTTCTACTTCTTTCAGCATGCCGGAGACAAGCCAGCTCAGTGTCTCCCTGCTTCTTACTGTCACCAAGATGGAAACTCGACTTAGTTGGCATGTCAGATGAAACTTGCTCTTAATGTCAAATCTAAAAAAACCAAAGACCTTTGAATTGAAGGTACCACCTCTAAGTTAAACAGAGAGGTGCAGCTAAACAGACTGAAGCCAGCAAGTAACGGCATCACAAAATCCAAGTGAGCAAGGGAGTATGTGAATCACCTCAGACCTGTAGATGAAACCTCAACAAAGAGGTGAACTACTGTACTCGCTCATAATACATTGTTATGGACTTCAAACTGTTTTGATCCGCAAAATCGTAGAAATTGAAATGTGGGATTAAAAATGCAACAACTTCAGATAATCCACCCAGATGTAGTGATTACTTATGATTTCAAAATCCATGATTTGACAGTCTCAGTTGTAGCATAAAGCCAGTGCCCTATAGTTATCAGCTTGTTTGGGACTTAGGTTTCATCACCTCATTCTATTATTTATGTGTTATCATATTAATTGTGTTACAGCCCATGTGAGGACTTTTTTTATTATCTGGTAATAAAGAAACTCAAATTAATTCCTCAAAATGACAGACAAAGACAAACCAGATCACTAAGAGTATGATGTTCTCTGTATTCATTTGCACACTGCAAGAACAGCAGTTTACAATTTGATGATAGTGGATTGCTTAAACACAGGGAGGACTTTTGTTGTTGTTACAACAGAGTGTTGTGTGCACATGTACAGGATCAAATCTGCAAAATTAAGAGTCAACGCTTCGTAAATATTGGCTGACACAAAAACTGCTCATTGTAGCTTTAAAGTGATTATTGAGTTGACATGACATTCGGAATGATTGCGATGAATGTTGCTGAAGCAGAAGAGTTATATAACTATTTGTGTTCATGTAGTGAAACAAACCCAGTGTGTGCATGCGTGCGTTCGTGTGTATTGGTTGATAGCTCCACACAGGGAGGGGCTGCTAACAGAGCAGGAGGATAGCTTTTCAAGGGAGGAGACTGAGGCCAGGGTGACTTCCTATCATAGGAAATGTGTGGCCAGAAAAGTGTTTAAATTCCTACCCATGTTTGTATCTCACACAAAATCTGATCAACTGTCAAACCCTTAACACTGCAGAGAGGAAACATCTGGCTTATGTCTGTTTAATTTGCTTTTATAGTTAGAGACAGAAGGCTGCAGGGGATGGACTGAAACCTGCTGCCTGGTCTGAGATAATTCGTCTTTGTTTCATCTGTTGGATCTGTAGGCTTGCAGAGTGCTGAGGAGGGACATTTTTGTCCTCAGACCTGGAGATGAACCTTGTTTGAACCTGGTTGGCTGCTCCTTGTATACATCAAGCTTTTGACTGAACTTGAAACCTCTACTTTCTGGGCCTTCATCAGCACCCATGTACAGCAGCAAATACTCTCAGGTCTCCAAGTACAGTCCGGAGGCAAGAAAAAGGATGCAGCACCGTTCCAGAGGAAAGAGCTGCGGCTACTACATGCGCATCGTCTTCTTCTTCTCTTCCCTTATCCAATCTCTGATCATTGTTAGCCTTGTGCTCTTTTTGATCTATGGGAAGAAACAGGACTCACCGTCCACATCCCGCATCCATGACCTGGAGGAGAGCTTCAGCCAGCTCTCCATCGAGAACGTGGCCCTGAGGCAGCAGAGGAAGAATCTGACCACCTTTCTCAACACCACCCTAACCGAGAAGGCTCGCAATGACTGGGACCTGGCTAGACTGCGTGACTACACCAACATCTCTGTAGTCCTTATCCAAGACATGGACAAGAGGATGGTGAGAAACTGATCAAACCTTTTGTTATAAGCGGTAAAAACCTAAAAGATTTAACTCCATTCAACTATAGAAAGACGATAAAGAAAATTTACACTTTTTAAAACTTTTGAGACAACAAAAGGTCATTGTGAGGAATGATTTCATTGGTATGCTATTTACAGATTCTTTATTGATACCTCATTATGATAAAATAATAAAAACATTTAAAGTGAACAACATTAGGTCAATTGTTGATTTTCTAAAACAGTGTTTCTGAATTACTTAATTTATTTTTCATTACATTGCTTCTTTGATGTCAAGTTGTTTTTCAGTTCCTTTACTCTCTGTGTGTTGTATTTACATGTTTCGTAAGTGCTTTATGTACGTGAATTAAATATTTTAAAAGTTTCTTCCGTGAGCAAATTATGTTGGTGAGGGTTTCTTTACATCACAGACAACACCAATGTAGCTTTTTTAAAATAAATATGGTGAAATCTTGTTCCACTGTATTTGAGAAAAACCATGATAGCCATTTTTTTTATCATGTCAAAATTTAAAAAAAAAAACTGTCTGGCTTATTTCTGAAGCAAACTGTAAATAAACTATGTTTACCTCCATTTGTCCACTACAGTATTTACAATAGGCCTATGAGAAATTGGTAAAAAAATGAATCTCCTTCTCCCTCTTTCTGAACAGTTCCAGTGCGCTGGCGAGTTGATGATGTGCAGGTCACAGTCACGTGTTGGCCCGTGTCAACCGCAGCGTAAGTATGACATCTCTTTAGTGCCAAGCCAAAAAAAACAAAGTTATGAGCTCCAAAGCAGTTACAACAGCTGCCATTTATTTTGTTTTAACGCTTTCTTTTATTTGTCTTTCAGCATTTCCAACCACCTGTAACTGTGGGATGTTTATGGAACAACTGAGAGCCAGGCTTGAGCTTGTGGAGTCCAACTTCACTCAAACAGTCCACAAGATGAGGATGGACATGGACCAGCTTACCAAAGAGAGAGACAACCTAAACCTGGAGGCCATCCGTCTGAGAAGAGACAAATCCACACATGAAAAGGAAGTGGACATCTTCAAAAAGAAGTGCAAAACTGACTTTATAGAGTCCTTGAGCGGTATCTCCAACACCACCAAAGCTTTTCTGGAGAAAATTGATTCCCTCTTCCCAGTGCACATTGCCTTCCAGCTCACCTGTCCCAGACAGAGAGAACACCTGGAGCAGATCCGCACCAACTGTTCCAGCCTGTCTCGAGAGGTGGAGGACAGGTTCCAGCAATACCTGAACAGTGTTGGAGACAAAGTCACAAACATACAGTCTGAGAGTAGCCGCTTAAGAGCAGAAAACTGGCGACTCTCTGAAGACTACAGATGGTGCAGCCAGAACCGCACAGGCCTGATCCAATGGCACAAACGCAGCCAAGAGCAGCTACAGCTGAAACATGATCAGGACAAGGAGAAACTCCTGGTAGACAAGATGAAGCTACATGGAGAAATCGAAGTCCTGAAGAGCAATGTCAAATACAAAACTACCCAGGTTGAGCACCTGGTAGAGCAAGTCAAGCATCTCAACATGACCTGCATGTCCAGGGTAAGAGAAGAATTGTCATGATTGATGGTATGACAATGCTATGAGCTCTAAAAGGCTTTTCAGCCGGGCACAGGGGGGTTTAGCTCTTCTTTTTTGAGCTTTTACTAATAATTTACTCCCAGACTGAATTGTACTTTGTAAAGACTTAAAGAAAGGTCTACTCGACCAGGAATGATTTTGCAAAATAAGAGGAGATGATCATGCAGAATATCAGCACTGCTATAATAGAGATAAAGACCAAAAATCTATAAAAATGATTTACACAAGCTGAAAATAGTAGTAAAGAGTAATAATCAACAACAAAAAGAGTTTATGCTCCGCCAAAGTCTAGCTTCACAAATGAGCTGTTGCCAGACAGTTGCCAAGCAACCCAGACTCACTTTTGTACTCTTGGTGCTTTGTGTCCATGAATTACACAGACCAGCTTCTTATCCTTATAAACACCAAAGTACGGTGGTTTTATTTATGTACATGGTTTTATTTATCTTGGAGCAAGTGAAATAAGATAATTTGGCAAAGGTACTAACTTAGGTTATCCAGGTAAAGACTGTTTGCTGTTATGTTTGTTTACTGACTGAGGAGTAATACAAAATAGAAAGTCCCAGTGACATTGCACTCTATATCCACACTCAAAGCACTCATCTTGTTCAATCACACTTTTGTGTTGTGTGCTCTACAAAACAGTATATTTGAATGAGTAAACTGATTGGACCACAGTCATTTTAAAAGTGCTGTTATATACATTACAACATAACTCACACCGTGAACTGGTGTATTAATCTACTTTAAGTGGTCTAATAACAGTAAATAAGGTTACAGGAGAGTCATGGTTAAGATCTCAGAATCATACACACACAAACAAACACACACACACATGCAAACATATGAAAACAACTAACAGTAGACTCTGGTGACACATACACATACCAGTAAATCCCAAAGCCACAGGTCTGCTGGTCTGTATTTGCATGTTATGACCACAGTGCATCACCACTAACTAAAGCCTTCTGAAGTCTTGGTGTCAATGACATAATTTGGCACAAAATTGTCAGCTGTGTGTTCAATGATGATATCTATCTGTGAAGCACCTTAAAAACATACTATATCTTCTTCATGATCTCGAAGTAGTTTTGGCTTGAATGCTTTAAATTTCTATTTTTAACATTGTTCTCATATGATTTCAGGGTGGAATGGGTGGATTCGGTGGACTGGGTGTAGGCCATCAACCTCGACAAGGTCAAGGATTTGGGACAGGCCTGTTAAATGGCGGTGGATCCAGTTCATCCAGTTCTTCTAGTTATAGCCAGTTGAATAGACAAGGGTCAGGGTCAAGCTTAAACACTGGTTCCATAGGTTCACCTTACAATAGGCAAACCCCAACTGGGCAAGGGTCTTCAAACCCATCTCTCTTAAGTAATTCTGGGTATGGGTCAAACAGGCAAGCCTCATCTGGTTCTGGGTCTTTAGGTTCTTCCCTCTTGCCATCTGGGTCGAGTGGGTCTAGTAGTTCTTCAGGTTATGGATCCAATAAGCCAGCCTCATCTGGTTCTGGGTCTTCCTTGTTCTCAGCTGGGTCTAGTAATTCAGGTTATGGATCCAATAAGCCAGCTTCAACTGGGTCAGGATCTTCCTTGTTCTCAGGTGGGTCTAGTAATTCAGGTTATGGGTCTAATAAGCCAGCCTCAACTGGTTCTGGGTCTTCCTTGTTATCAGCTGGGTCTAATAAGCCAGCCTCAACTGGTTCTGGGTCTTCCTTGTTCTCAGGTGGGTCTAGTAATTCAGGTTATGGGTCTAATAAACCAGCCTCAACTGGTTCTGGGTCTTCCTTGTTCTCAGCTGGGTCTAGTAATTCAGGTTATGGGTCCAATAAGCCAGCCTCAACTGGTTCTGGGTCTTCCAGTTCTTCCCTCTTTTCATCTGGGTCAAGTAGTTCTGGATCCAGTTCAAACAAGCCAACCTCATCGGGGTCAGGGTCCTCCAGTTCCTCCCTTTTTTCATCTGGGTCAAGTAGTTCTTCAGGATCCAATAAGCCAGCCTCAACCGGGGGGTCCACTTCACTCTTTGGGTCTAGTGCAAGTTCTAGCTCTAGTGGGAGAGGGTCTTCAGCTTCAGCCTCCACGGCAGGTGGGAAAAGCTCATCAGGCACTGCATCATCTTCGTCAGGGTCCTCAGGGTCAACTGGGTCAACTGGATCAACAAGTAAAAGCTCTGGCATGGGTTGGTTTAACTCTTGGGGCAGCAGTAGTAGCTCAGGGCAAAGTAAGACAGGAACTGGAACTGGAACTGGAACGGGGAAAGGAACGTCAACTGGAGGTGGATCCTCAGTTGGTTCAGGCAGAACCAGTGGACTAGGTAAGAATAAACTATATTTTGTTGCTTAATTATCATCACTGACTGAAAAAAATGTGTCAACACAGACTGAAAGTGGGGTGGTGCAACAGAGTTCTGGTTTTATAGGCTAGCTGTTACAGAAACTTTCTGTATGTGTTGATTTGGTGCCCCCTGTGGACAAAGTGGTAACCTTTTGACTGTTGCTGAATGCATCTTGTCTGTATAAAAGTTGAAATAGCTGACAAAAAACAACTCCTTTAGTCTTTTCCTCAGTGTGAAAATTTGCTGTGGAGAAATACAACTTTGAGTCTTTCTTTGATGGACCTACCCCCTCATAGCAGAAACAGGCATTAAAAAATTACAACACAAAGTTTCAAACTTCTTGTGTACATTGTGGAGATGCAACACTGTTCATTTCAGTCTGTTTTATAACCCGTATTAAACTCTTTACAGGAGCTTTCAGTAATCCATCTCTGATACATGTGTGTAATAGCTGTAGTACTAAAAACTGAGTTGAATAATAAGCTCTTTGTGAGTTTACAAACGTGTCTATTAACTTACCATGGGGACAAGTGACAAGCTTGAATGTTACAGTGTTGATGATAGCAAGCACCAGATTCTACTTAACAAAAAAAATCTTCAAACATTTGTGTGATCTGACCCTTTAAAATGCCTTGGCTGAAGAGAGATACACACAGAAACCAAATCAGTAAACAAAAAACATAACAAACAACACCTGGTTAGCATGTTAAGTATTTGATTACAAACCCTACAACCTCACTACCTATAAAAATTGGATCAGATTTTTGCAGTGTTGTTGAACAGTATTGGAAATACTAACTGGTGGCAGGTCAGAAATTAAGTAGGTTATAATTACAGCTTGATTGATTCATGTTTTTGTTTTTAAAATTCTCCTTTTCTTATGTTTTATCAACAGTCGATGTTGCTCAGCACCTTCGAGATCTGCAACGCATCATCAACCCCCAAGCCCAAGAGTGAGTACAACTTTTTTACTTTTGTACAAGTTAATATGAATACCACACTGCTATTTTTGTATCAGTCTGAAAGGTTTTTTTTTTCAAAGTTTTGCAAATCACATTTAAAAATTTACATTGAAAATGAAAAAGCCCTTGCAATTTTGACTTGTGAAAGACAGATGGTTTTCCATCAGTGAGTCTGGCTCTGCACAGCGTTTCTGTGAAAATGAAGCTCTTCTTTGCCATCGTCGCCAAATATATTCAGTGCCAACTGTATAAAAACTGAAAACACACAAGTCCTTGTATTGAACTGGATTTCTCAGCCTTAGCTGTGAATCACTCAGTATAAAATCAACTTATCAATGATGATTGATGATGAACCAGTGATGTTAAAATGCAGGGTTTTGTTGGTTTTGGAGAAAGTTACTTTAAAAGTGTTAAAAAAATGTTTATATGGGGCTAGGTCTAGCAACAGACCAGTGCACAGGATTGGGGATCTAATGCATCTAAAGTATGCAGGTTTGAATCACATTGAACTAAAAGGATCAGAAGGGAGGAACATGTTACTCAGCACTTAAGTGAGCCTCACTCATGTCATTCATATTGTCAAAAAGTAGTAAGTATTAAATCTAATGAAACTGAATGCCTGATAAGTTCATTGTTGGTTGCGATTTAGTTTTTGGCTTTTGTTGGAATAAGTCAGAAAAATCAAATCAATGAACTCATTAAAAGGGTGTGATGTCTGAAGCAATAAGAGATGTATTAAATTTCCTTTTTCTTTTTTCTTTTTTTTTACATTTTAGGGAGAAACAGGATCTCTCAAGGATGTTGGGTTAATCATCTACCCTGACAAGAAAAAAAAACAAACATTTAAGAGGTTTGCTACATCTGTAAATCAAAGCTAAATGCACACTCCCTACACTGATTACGTTACAATGTTACAATGTTATCTAGCACATCGTATTGATTATGTATTGATTACATATTGTATATCACCAGATGTAGCACATGTTATACACTGTGACAGCTTCATTACTGGATTGCATTTAGAAAAGTTATTTGAATTACTTAAGCACTTTTCAGTGTAAAATGTGAATATTGTGTGTTGATGAAATGTTTTTGTAACTCTGTCTGAGCAAGCACAACTATTTTTACTTTGAACAAACAGTATGTTAAATAAATGCTTTTTAAACGTAAGCCCATCAACTACACCTGTCTGTTCTTTATAAACAAAGCTATTTGAGATATTAGACCATGTAGAACAGGAAATAACTGTTTGTCCCCATGTACGTCACCTATTGTGTGGCTAATTGTCTACAAATGACTTCTCAGCCCACCCTGTGAAGTTTTTGAGAAGGGTTTGCAGTCAACACAATTTAATCCCTCCAGCATGTTTATGCTTACCTGCCAACCTGTCAGCAGGCTGGCCAAGGCAGATTGGAGGAAGCTTTGGAGTCAGTTGTGCGCATATAGTATGTTGTTGTTTGAAACAATGTGCAACCACTTAACTGTGCTGAAGACGGATATCCATGATCAAAATAAACCCTGATCTTATAAAAGTAAACAGGGGGTGGGAGCTCGACTTTGTCTAAGTGTTTAAAATGTTTCGAAAGCAAGCTCTTAACTTTTGAGTGGCTGGCTGAGGAGGTTAAGATAGAAAAAATTAACAAACCTCTTTTGAAAATACAGTATTTCACAAAACAAAAGCATCACAGACATCAATTATTTGATGATTTCAGAGCACAGCTACTTTAATTTCAACCGTAACAACAAAATAGATGAGGGAAAACCAAAACGGTCATGAGAGCACACAAACATCCTGTACCTGTGCTGTGAGAGGATGGGAATCTTCTGTTAAATTAAGTACCAAAAAGTATTGTGCTGGTGCCAATTGATAAATAGAGAAGTATGTCTCTAGCAAAGGGAGAGCTCTTTCCCGTCTAAAGGATATCCTTTGTTTAACATCAAGTGTTTTTCCACATTTGGGATGTGCAGCTCACTGCAGGAGGAGCAGTCAGGATATTAAAGGTCAACTGTTCAGATGCTTCTGGGACCTGCTTTAACGGTATGGTAGAGACACAGGATGTGTTCAAACAAATTCACTGGAAAACTATGATCATGATGTGGGTTTGTCAGAACAGGTTTCCTGTCATCTCACTGTGTTTTCCTGTCGACTCATGTCATTTTTTAACTCCCTGAACAGACATTTGACAGTACAAAACAATTATTAGCATCAGAGAGATTCCATGTGGTATGGACATTTTTTTTTTACCCTTTGCAAACTACAAAGAGAAAACATCCTGGGATGGTACACAAGATTCATCAAGACTGTTTTTTTTATCACCTCACCTTCTATATCTTCGATTTATTAACATCTTTAACAGTGGGGTTGCAATATTATCACAGATGTGTTTGTACAGTGAATGCCTCTCGGTTTCTGCTTTCACAAAAGGACAGTAGATAACGAAGTAAACTTAAGTAAAAGTAGATTTAATTAAAAAAACAAATTTGTCAAAAAATAAACCAAACATAGCAAACATCTACATTTGAGAGCCGCAGATTTGTCAGCAGAAACGTACACCTAACTCCAGACTAACTTTACTATCTTCTTCACGTTAGAATCAATGCAGAAATCAGTGATAGACCTACAGTGTGAATCTCCTTTTTAACATTTGGTTAACCAAATTAATTATTTTATTTATTGGCAAGTAACACTTACATTTGTGCTATTGTTCATTTCTACCTTGCGTTAGCTAGCCAAAAATGCTTTAATTAGGCTAGTATGGACAGACACCAGTGGTCTTATTGTCATTACAGTCAAATCTAGAAAAGCACTCGGAGAGTGCAGACCTCGGCCAAGCAGCTCATGTCCCCCCCCTTATATTGTGATTCACACCAAAACTTTTACTTTTACGTGTCTTTTATTAACTTTTATTTGTGTTTAAACTGGTATGTTCACTGTTCATAATGTTCCTAGAACAAGAAATGCCCTGACCCGGATTCAAACCCAGGACCTTCTTGCCGTAAGGTGACAGTGCTAACCACTACACCACTGTGCCGCCCATTGGTTATCTTTCGGCACTGAAAATTCCAACGACACCCTTATTTTTGTGTGTTCTGGATCACAGTATCCGGAATTTTGTCTGGATCAGGATCAACCTTTGACACCTCATAAAACTCATTGAGATCCTTTTGTGTAATTTTTTACTGAAGACAAATTTTTATTGAGTTAAATGCAAAAATTCCCAAATTTGCCCTATCTCACAATGATAAAGAATCCTTCAAAAAATTCCTGGATCCAGAAGGCGATCTGGATCACCACCAAAATGTAATGGGATCCGCCTGTGGCTGAGACGTACCTCTGGTGAAATTTTCGTCTATTACTTTCTCCGTAAAGTTGCTAACGGACAAACAAACCAACGAACAAACAAACAAACAAACAAACAAACCAACAAACAAACAAACCAACGCTACCGAAAACATAACCTCCTTGGCGGAGGTAACAATTCTCGATCCAGTCATCGCGTCCCCTCCTGGTATCCCTAATAAACAGAAATCTTTTCACATTTCCATATTTTTGCAAGAACAGTGTTCCACCCTGCGCTGGCTGTTCCTGTACGCTGCATATGGGTTTTGAAAAGGCGCAAGAGGCGCATGGTGGAGGCGATTACTGATAGTGCTTCAAAAATGGGCCACCTTGATAACAAACATCTTGTTTACATTTGTTCCCCTAAAACAAAGAGTATTTTCTCAAGCTTTAATGGTATTAAAATCATAGTAAGTGAAGTGCTTGACGGTGGATGACATGACTCTGATACAGTTGTGTGGTGTGCACAGTACAGATGATTTCACACTGAAGAGTGGGGGGCACCTAAGACAAAGCTCAGAATTGAACATATTACTCCAGCATGGTGGGAGAGGTGGATTGTGATGTACTTCTGTCATTGATGGAAACCTTACAGCACTACCACCAAAACAGAGGTGTACTTGTGTAATCTAAGTACAAACAAACCCTGTGTTGTTATTCACTTCAAACCAGGTACCATCTCATGGACTTGCGTAAGGTGTTGACATGCATTAGTTGTTCTCACCAAATAGGTCATTATTTAGGTCAGCTGGAATCAGACTCATCCATTATGAATGCTTTGAATGCGGTAAAAAGTCTTCCATGGATGATTAAATTCATGTCTGGCGTCTTGGCGGATATTGACTCTCAGCGCTGTGGACAGTCCAGAGACCACAGACACAGAGTTGGGGCCATTGTGTCGCAGTCTGCCAAGCCACCCCCCTCCTCCCCCTCCTGATACAGGAAAGGGACCTAATGGTCATGATTACGACCTCCTTCCTCACCTGGGGTTGCAGGAGTGTAACGTCCTTTGTCTGTTGCTGCTAATGTTCCTTCTTTACTGTGACTCCTAATTGCATTTCCTCTTTGCATGGCCTCCCTTGGTCCCATAGCTGCCCAGGCTGGTAAAGACATCAGAGGGCAACACTCTCTCTCTCTTGTGCACATACTATGGTGTTTAAGTGGAAAGAGGTAAATGCTGGAAACAGCTGGGAGGGAAAACATACAGTAGCAATGACGTCTTTTGTGTTGACGTTCTGAAACCCGACCCTGACTCTCACCTTGACCTCTTTCTGCGAAAGAGTTATGGAGGGAAATGTGATTCAGTTTAAGAGTTTCAAGAAGGAGAGTCTGACTTCATGTAACCTCTCTTTGGGCACCGAAACCTCTCGTAGCCCGGGCTTTATGGGGATTCCTGCGGTCATGAAACTGAGCACGTGGTACGAATAGGTCCCTCATTGACTGAAAAACTGCATACAACCTCATTGTATGTATCCACTGTGTTTCTGGAGCACTCATTGTGTTACAGACTGGCTTAAAATCAGCCAGTTTATAACACCCTTTCACAAAGTTTTAGCTTACTACTATTTGCTATTGTAAGACTGAGCCTGTACAGCTTTGATTGCAATTGGTTGGCTTTAAGTTTTGTTAAGGTATTGAGTTGCGGAAGCCTAAGATTAGAAAAATCCAGAAAATAATCTGCAAAGGGAAAAATGTTTCATTTAGTTGTCTATTGGTCTCTTTGTGAATGTTTATCTTTAAAAGTAATAGAGCCTAAGTCCTACTAAGTCATATTTTGTTCACTACTAAATTTCCAAAATAGACACATTTGGTAGGATTTGAGTTTTTGCAGTATATCTCCACTAATCATGTCTTCATCGAATAGTAACATGAAAATATCATTTTCTTCAAGATTAGTTTTGGCTTTTTTAAAACTACTTTACCTACATCTTAGATGAGACAGGACATGTTGGGAGAGAGAAAGAGAGGAGGGTGGTATTCATCCAATACTGTCAGGACCAGGAATTGATCCTACAACTAGTGCATTGAGGACTATGTCATCTACATGAGGCACACTCCACCACCTGACCTACAATGGTACCACTTAAAGTTGAACATTTATCATATGCTCTGTTTTGGAGTATTGTTTGTTTGTTTTAAAAAGTCAGCATTTAAATTTAAAGGCTTCATTTATAGGGAGACAAAAAAGACGAAAATCCAAAGTAACAATCTGAAGTACTGGCAGAAACTAAATAGTTACATCAAAATCACAGAGAGTCATAATTAGCAGCCTGCAACACAGCCCAAATAGTTAATCTTACCTAAGTCTTGCCTCAGACCTTAGGTGAAAAATCAAAATTTTCTCAGTCAGTCAGTTTCCCATCAATCTTCCTCTGCTGTAAACATTGTAGATGTCATGAAGTGAGCAACCATAAGCCCTGACCAGCTGCAGTGGTGTCCTGTTTATCTGTGCCATTGATTTTCCATTAAACACACAGAGCTTTACAGTTAACACATCACTGGCAGGGATAGAGAGATTACTGATCCCTTGATCCCATGAGAGAGATTGACAGAGCCACAGCCACTACACTTATTCAGCTTCATCCGCATCTACAGAGACATGTAATGAAAACACATGTGCTGGCTGCCATAGACTCTCAAAAAAGAGAAGTATTACTCTGATTCTTGGTTGTGAAACACATTATTTGGAGGTCTTTAATTCTCTCTTTATTTTTAATAAAAACTGAATAAAATTAAAGGATATCAGCTCCCATGAAAAGCCAAAAAAACTCAAACTTTCCAATTTTAGAAACCATTCCACATGATGGGGAAAAGAGTGAAGTTGGTTTCAGTTTATTTCAGTTTGTTTTATTATATGACAGTTGTGAAATTGACCTCCAACCTCTCTTTGTTTTAGTGTCCCAGGGTGTGGTCTCAGTTTTGCTTTTGCTAAAGGATTGATTTGGGGGGTTTCCTTATTGGGTCAAGCCAACCAAGAGTACTTTATAATGCCAGTAAAGCCATGCAAGCCAAATCTTATTTTGGCTATATAGATAAATCACATTAACTCAGACTGGGAGTTCAGGGGCAAGAGGATGATCATGATACTTTAAACAAAGGTGAGAGGGTAACAGGTAATGGAGGTAAGCATTTTATCATGAGGGTTTGACAACAGTCTGACCATGCTGATGGAAAGCTATTTACTACTGCTATCTAGTGGTCATAGTAGTGAACTGCTAAGCACATGTGTGTCATAGGTCAATCTGAAATCACCAACATCAGTTTACTCTTGTCTCACGTTTCTCTCTATGCTCAAAGCAGTGAAACAGAAAAAAACCCCTCCCTCTTCCAATAGACAGAGCCGACAGAGAGGTTCAAGAATCAGTGTACACATGACAGTGAGCACCTGTGACAGGCAGACCGCCCAGCCTCTGGGTGGAGGCCAAACAGAAGGTGTGAATGAGTAATTGTTCCAAGAAATCAAATTAGTGTGTCTATAGCCCTGTTAGGCAAAATATTTACACACGCAGCTTAAAAAAAATTCTGCTGTGGGTGGAGAACGAGACATGCAGAATTCAATACAATGCCATATGGTGTTATGATTACGCACTTGTTAAACTCTCCAAGCTGTTTATCTTTCAAAGTGCTTTTAAGGTGCAGAGAAAGAGAGCAGGGGCTGAAAACAGTGTGTTTAGAAGATGGGGATATTTTACATTTGTGTCATCAGTTGATTTTCTTTCTCCAACCTTTATATATTTACTGACATGTGCAAGAAATGTTTGCAGCAACTCTATCCTAGCAGACTGGCTGCTGTGGTAGAGATTAGTCAATCACAGGTACCCCTAGCCCAAAGGAATTTCTCCGCTTTACTCTCTATTTTAAAACCCTAGGTTACAATTTATGTGTCTAAAAGTTGAGAAGACTTGAAAATAGAGAATGAGACCATAGACCTGTTAAGAATAGGTTACTGAACAAAATAGAAAATACAACATCAGTTGGACTTGTGTTTGTGATGAAGGATGTCTCCTCCTGTTGGCCTTTAGATAGAATGCAGGTCTCATTCACATAATACCAGCCTCACTTCTGAAACATTTTTTTCTCAGTTTATGTCGGCGTGCACAATGTACATAGACAAAAAAGAGACTGCTCGACTCAAAGTGACATAAAAGTCAGTAACTGACTCAAATCTTGACTTTCAGAAGAAACCCTGTCTTAAAGTTTGTCTAGATGCTTTTATAGGAGAACAAAAATACTATTGGTGCCACATCAGTAACGTAAACACCAAATTATAAGGGGAAATGTAGAATTTTATGTCAGAGCTGAAGCTGCACAAAAACAATGTGGAAACACTAGCTTTGACCTGTTGTATCTGTCTTTTTAGCACTTTCAGATTTGCTCTCTCTGTACTGCAACGGAGAGGAGCTGTCCACCACTGTTGTTTTGTTTTGGTCCATCAAAGTGTTAGGAAAACATGACCTCCTTGGCGGAGGTGCCAATACCACTACATCAAGGTATGATAAGAGATTATATATACTTTTTTGATCCCCCACTGGTGGAAATTCTGATGTTACAGCAGTTCAAAAGGGACAGAGTAAATACAACAACATAAGGTAACCCAAACTGATCCGTGTGTGTGCATGTCTCTGTTGCTGGAGAGCTTCTTCTCAGTTCTGGGTTTGACCAGGCCCCAGTCCCCTGCCTGCTTGTCTTCCTCAGCGTACCAGCCTTTCCGCAGATTCTCGTCCATGACTACCCAGACATAGAGATATTAATGATTTTGCTGTTGGCTACCTGACAGATAAAAAAGCATTGTAAGTAGGCTACACTGTCATCATGTTACACAATCATTACTCTATTTACTAGAAATTGAGGGCTAAACACTCAGGCTAATTGTAACCAAAAACACAGCTATTCGCATAGATACATAGATACAAACACACCATGGCCATTTGGACAAGAACACATTTGATAAAATATTACCAACATACCTAATCACTGTTCTCCTACAAAAAAAAAGGTGCATGGCTCGAGCATAGCAACACGATGCTACAAGTGGTTACAGGCCAAGTGGGTGCATTCTTCTGGAGGCAGATGGCATGCGCTCCTGGTGGGGCCAAGGAGTTAAGTTTGAATGTTTATTAACATGACAAACAAGGAAGGATCCTGCAGACTTCTTTTAAGGAATGGGAAAATTCAGGTAGATTTGAGGTTGCTTAGGAAAAGAGACACAGTGAAAGAAGAAACTTAAAAGGAAAAAGATGACAGAGAAAGGTAGTAAATTAAATCAAGGGCTCTTCCTCTCAGAGTTACAACCTTGGCGTTCTGTTCTGCCATGACAGCCTGCTCACTACACTATACATCATCTCAGGTAGCTACCATAGACTGTATATACTATGGACAATTTGGTTCCGCCTTCTGCCAAAAAGCTCTCGGTAAGCCTGCGTTTTCTCTCCAATTCCTGAAACCAACATTGCACAGTAGTGTTGTACGCATTGGGCGGGAGGGTCACTGTGATGACGCTCGGCTCAAACAGCGTTTCCCCCGGGTGAGCTACGCAATCCTTGTACGCCCATAGGCTGTATCAGGTGTCAATCATAGAAAACATGAACCCCCTAATAACTTTTGAAAATGGAGCTGCACATAAAAAAGAGGACTTGAGCACAAACCAGTCTTACTGTAACTACATGCAGACATTGCAAGCAGGGGGGAGAAAAATTTATATTCTATGAAATAAACTTCTTTGTCCACAGGTCCATAGGGATTGCTGGAGGAGGCGGGATTTATGACCTATACTGCAGCCCGTCACCAGAGGGTGCTGTTCTTGAGGTGGCTTCACCCAGCGAAGAGGCAGACGCTGTCCATTCTATATACGGTCTATGGTAGCTACACTGTTTTTATTTAAAGAAGATTTGTTTTCATGATAATAAAATTTGCACACGAACCTCTTATGTGAGATGCTGATTCACAGTGGAAGCATACCAAATTTAACACAACTGATATACTATTTTCAATGTCAAATCAATCATTCAGGGAACTTCATGAACTCCTTGCATTGATAAATAGAAATGGGCATCACCCCATAAGATCTAGACCGATCAATGTAAGTGATTTCACGTTGGCTGACTCCCTGGCAGCTCTGACTGTACAGCTATAGGACGTTTATTATGTCACTGTGTGCAGAGCTGCAGGCGACACGGTGTTCCCCTCGTCTCTGTCGTCACTCCTCAGTCACGACTGGTGTGCGTAACGTGTAGAAGCCATGATCATGTTCCTCCTCCTCCTCCTCCTGCCCCACCTCCTCCTCCTCATCATCTATCAGATACACTGAGGGCTTTCCCTATACATACACCAGCCATGCAATAAAACACAGCCCCACGTAGAGTGTTCGCTTCTTGTCCCGCCACTAACACACACACATACACACACATACACACACACACGTACACCACCACCATGCAGGCGGCGGGCATCGGAGCAGCTGATACCGACGCTGCTGTAAACGGTAGCAGCAGCAGCACCGCAGACGTCGACGACAGCGACGGGGCAGGGGAGAGGATGGAGAGGACGGTGCCAAGCGAGCAGCAGGACAGAACCAACAACCAGCAGCAGCTACAGCAGCAGCAACAGCAAACGTCCTCAACGACATCCGGAGTGCTCGGTAAGTGACAGACAAGACAGTTAACACAAAAATACAGCCAGTGCCCTACGCTTTGTAGGCAACTGTGCTCATTTACAAAAAAAAGGGGGACGAGGATGAAGAAAAATATGATGCTTTTGTGCTTGGACGTTGTGGTGCAGTCATTGATGCTCGATGGACTTCATTGAATGACTCACGGGATACTAAAGGGGTCAATCTTCAGTGATTGATTTCGTGCGTCTTTTCATAGTGCGCATTCCTTGTCACAGGCCCGTTAAGAGTCCGACTGAAGGGGTCCACAGGTGTATGCAGGAGTCATGTGCATGTCCTGACGGGCTGTGCTGCACTTTTAGGAGTGCAGAAGAAAGATGGGTTGCAGGCTCAGGTGTCAGCTTTCACTCAGCTGGTGAGGACTTGAGATGCATCTCAGTGATGGTTAAAAAAACACTGGTGTGGAATTATTTCTGTATTAACATGATGAGGACCGTTAGCAGCACTGGAAATGTATTTTTGTTTTTGGAGATTTAAGGGGCCCTTGCTTGTCTGTGGGGCCCCTGGAGTTAAGTCGTTTGTCTGTAAAATATGACTGCAGTTGGAGAAATCCCAATCACATTTATTGATCAGGACTGGCTGTCACACAGACTCACAAAGATAAAAATGAACTTCAGACATTCAGTCAGCCAAAGGGGCTAATCAATTACAATTTCACACTCTGACACCACCATGAAAATTTGACTTTTAACCCTTTTCTACATCTCTCTCAGTAGTATTAGTGAGATCACAGGCAGTGGTGCAGAGTATGACTGATGATTTTGCTCATGACCACATGAGCTAAAGGCTCCAACTGTTTATAACAGCTTGATTCAGCAGTTTTGTATGGGCGTGGAATAATAGTTGTAATGCATCTGATTGTGAAGTGTTACAGCCTTAGCATCTTTTCCCAAAATGTCAGTGAATTGTGAAGATTGTGCATAAACTGCATTGAGTGAACATGTTTAATACTGTAAGATATTTCATAAGACTTGGAAGAAAGGGGGCATGAAGTTGTTTGTAAAAATTGACAGTGCAATTTAACTTGCTTAAAGACCTACTCCGACGAAAACCATGTTTTTCTTGTTTTTTATTTGTTCGTATGGCATTTTTCTGATGCTACAGGACATATCATGAGAAAACAAAATGTGGAATTGCTTTTCTGAGTATTTCTTCATTGAAATCACTGTGAATCTCTGGCAGACCCAAACGGCAGGTTCAGACACAGTGAGATTTCATATGTAACCAATCCAAGCTCCGCCCCCCGGAGCCCAGCTATGCAGGCCAGACTCTGCATATAGAGAAGAAATAGAGAGGATGATTGCGGAACAAGCGTGTGCGTTAGCGGATTGCAATGCTCATTAGAAAGCTTAATGTGATATTAGCTTTCATCGTGTCTAAGAGCTGAATAGCTCCTATGTTACCTGCCACTTCTACTACAATGGCAATGTAAGGCTACAAGCTAACGTGAAGATGAGTGAGCAGAGCACCGCCCACAACTCAGAGGCGAATTGCTAATGATCTACCGGAGCTCTGCAGAAGAAAAGTCCTTGAAAATGACACAGTTTATGTGATTTTTGGTAAAAACTTAATATTCACCATTTAAAGACCACTGAGGACACTTTAGTGGAAAAAAATGATTGGAGTGGGTCTTTAATTATATTTACTTAAGCAGCTTGTTAAATTAGAGTTTTTAAAGTAAAATAAATATACAGTTCACTGTAGCCAGATCTAATGGCTGGATTCTCCTTATGGGCCACAGTTTGAATAGATTTGATTCACTTCCCCAGACAAAATCAATATTATTAATATCCAGTCTACTGTGTTTTGCTGAGTTATTTATTTTCCCTTTTAGTTGCATTTCATGGATCATGGAGACACCTGCTGTAAGAATTCTTTGTGTAACAATAAAAAATAACAACCAAATCCAGTTTTTATAAAAAAAAAATGTTGGTTTTAGGAAAATCACACAAAGTGATGACAGCAGTAGATGATGAACCATCTGTGTCTGACTGTGTATGATGCCTTCTTTTTGTGGGTACACAACTAGCATAATAAATACTATGTCTGCTGCTCTTTTTTGATGCACAATGAATGTATTTCAGAGAGATAGGGTTAGTAAATTATGTCATCATACATGTGAATGTTCTCTCTGGAGAAATAAAGTGCTGCTTCCTTACCAACATAGCATAAACGTGGATAAGTCTACATGTAGAGTGACCTTTATGTGACAATCATAGAGACAGTCACTCAGTTAGCGTTCAGGAACATGCAGTACATGACAAATCAAAGTGGCACTATATGTGTCAGTGGCATGGCTTGAATTGTGTAAGTATTTCATGCACACAAACACAAACATGGTCAAACACAGATCGATCAGCAGAGGTGCGTGTCTTGTTTTAATGGCTGCTTTACAGAATGGGGAACATGATCCATTGGCATTGTTTCTTTGTATTTACTGAGGGTGCAGCACAGTGAGTGTGAAGGTTGCGTGCTGCTATTAAACTTCGTAGTGTAACAGAGAGGAGACAGCAGCTTTTAATAAGAGGGATATGACGTGCCGTGGATGATGTGCTAATGCAGTTACTCTGCAGAAAGTGAAATCCTAATCCTTGTATTTACTGAGTGTCACATTAAGACTCAGTGAAGAGATCTATCTATCACTGGGGCCGTTTGGCCTGCGTCAGACAGAGAGTGTGACTTTCGAGTGAAAACCAACACGTGAAAGACGATAAGTAAAACTGATGACCTCTCATATTTCACTGTACTGTGAAGAAGTGGGATAACACTGCTGTGGGAGTCTGTTGCTTTAGCTTAATTGAATACTTTAAGAGATTGACTTGAAAGGCCAGTTTTCTGCTATTTGCACAACTCTCTGTTTAGACAGATTACTTGTTTGTTTAGAGCTCACTGATTTCGCTGAGAGACATGTGACTGGTGCTGCACTGTCAACCTTCACGCTGGCTGAACAATTGTTTCGGACATTTCTGTCTTTTTGTCAGGGAAGGACAGAAAACATGTTGGAGGAAGAACTTTGGGATGAGCAGCAGTGGGAGTAATGTGTAATCCTGTCATCTGTGCCCTTGATCGTCCTGATGAGAAATTATCACCAGCTGCCTGCCCGTCTTTGTCCCCGTCCAGGCCTTAGTCAGACTTTATTAACCTCATTTTGACTTACCTCTACCTTCTCACCCTTCTGCTATTTTTTCTTTTTTTCAATTTTAGATAAACTGTTTGGGAAGCGTTTCCTGCAGGCCAGACACTACATTATGTCCCGCAAGTCCTGGCTGAAGATGGTGCCCACTGAAAACTGTGATATCCTGATGACATTCCCAGGTACAGTAAGCTCCAGTCCTCTCTGTCCTCCTCCCTGTGACAGATCAGCCCACTGTACAGAGAACAGAGGATCCTCATTAAATGTGTTTAGCCACTCTGAAGGATCACGGGAACTTTAAAAGGTCTCTTGGGAGCTCTAACTCTCGCCCATTTCATGGTTTTGGGCCTACATACAAGCCTGCCCTTCAGTATTTTAAAACAAGAGAAAAAAAAGCTTTATGGATACAAAGCACGACTTGTATATTCAGCTACATCAGTGATAGGCTTTGTCTTTAGAGGCTGGATACTATTAGATTTATTTGACAGCTTTTTCCCTGAAGAAGAAACCTCTGTATCCGCATCCTGACCTGCCAGCTTTATTCTGCGTGTCTCATTTTGTCCAAATGTGAGAAATTCCTTTGCTAGGGGTTATTATGAATTAGACAGTTTTCAGGTTGTGACAGGCATGCATATTTTCAAAAATAGCTTTGTGTTGTAGTATTAAAATGAGTAAGCAGTATAAGCATCAATGTGGACCTCGGTTTTAACTATTTACTTTTTAATAATGAGTAGAAATCAGTCACATATCTGAAACTTAACATCAGGAAATTTACAGTATATTAACAAATTTTGCCCGAGAACAACATATGAAAAAAAAAAAAGCAATATTGAAGAAAAACATCATAAGGAACTGTTTGTGTGGCTGACCTGCTGAAAGAAATATGTTCCACCAGATTCTGAATTCAACTGAAGTCAATGCATTCAGTTTTCTTAATCACAGATTACCAAAAGGATCAATTTCAGTGGATCAGTTTATATCTACACTAAAAACACAGGTCTGCATTTTGTCCTTTGCTTTAAATCTTTCCTACATCACTTTAAAACATCACTTTTTACTCTAAAACTATACATTTGTTTGCCTTTTGTTTTCTTTAATGTTGTTCTCATGTCTGTTTTTTGGTTTTGCCTTCTTATGTACTAGCAGCATTGAGCAATGTTTGACTATCCCTAAAGTTACAGTAGGGGATCTTCAGTCATTAGCTCCATTATTGTAGGGGTCCTGGGCTGAAAAGTTTGGGAACCCCTGCATTAAAGGCAGATTGTTTGAACTAATATTTGTGGGAGTAGAAGGCAGAGTTTGGAAGTAAAAGCATCTCCATCTACGGCAGTAGCTCAGGAGGTAGAGCTGTTGTCCAATAACCGGAAGGTTGGTGGTCCGAACTCCGCCCTATCCCAAGTCTGTCCGTTGTGTCCTTGGGCAAGACACTTAACCCACCTTGCTCCCAGTGTTTGTTCTCCACCAATGTATGATTGTGAGTGTTGTGTGGTGGTGGTCAGAGAGGCCACCAAGGTGTGACTGTGTGAGCGAATGAATGATGTATCCAATGTAAAGCGCTTTGAGGTCACTGACAAAGAGCGCTATAAAATTGGATGCATTATTATTATTATTATTATTATTATTATGGTTGGCTCAAGATTCATTTAAATGTTATACGCTCATGAAAAGTTTTCAAGTTGCTTGTTAATGGGAGTCCCTCTTAGCATGAAGTCCTCCCTGTAAGGTGAGGTGCAGTTGGGGTTGGGGGGTGGATCGAGGAGGCAGGACATGACATGTGACATGATGCACTAAAAGCTATGTGAAATGTTAACAACAATCCAGCTGACAAAGCCACAGGACCCTCCTCTATGTCAGTGTCATATCGGTTGTGCAGATGTCTTTGCCGTTTTTGTCTTGAAATTGTTTTCATCTTCAACTGCTGGTGTTTTTACTCATCCTGTTTTGAGTGGCTCCAATGGGTTCACACCTGGTGTATGATATATAAACGTCACTTGCAGGGAATTTTTTGCTGCCTTCTCTCATTGTAGATGGGCACTGAGCAGGAGTGACCTTTTATTGTCACTGCTACCCCACTTCTCTGTGGCACTGCTGCCAGAGCGCTCAGAAAGATGAGTTCAGCTCAGCCTCTTCATGCAGCAGAAAACTCATTACCTGCCCCCGAGGGAGCATATGGGGAACAGTGTGTGACTTCAAAATTCAGAGTGAATGTAAAAAAAAACTGGTATTTCAAAGTACTTTAATGCTGAATTTCCTCTGCTGCAGATACCATAGATGACCACACTCTGCTCTGGCTCCTGAATCAGATCCGTGTTGGGATCCCACAGGTCAGCATTCAAGTCCGACAGCATAAACACGCCCAGACACACGCCTTCTTCATCACGACAACATTCGAGAAGTAAGCCTCTGAAAATAACACTGTATGTTTATGTGTGGGTTGTGTTTCTTTGAACTGCTCTGAGTGAAGACATCTGAGTTTGTTTTCACTTTTCAGAGCAACAAACAGTGTCATCTTTTCTCAGTTTCAAGACTGAGGTTAGAAGACAGCAAGACCTGTTAGTTAGGATTTTCTTCCTGTTAGTTCATAAGAGCATTTTATAAGCAATGTTTATCTGCATTTGAATGTTTAACTAGAAAGTTTGACTGACCATCTGACTAGTCTTAAGGTAAGAAAACACTCAGAAAATGGTCAAACAGGGGCCTATTCTACGAAACAAGTTCGACCTAGCGAGGTAGCCTTGGAGCTACCTCGCACAACTTAGCGCGGTAGCCAGTGGTCTTGCTAAACGGTCTTACGACACTGGTTATCAACCTTGTAAGTGGATCCAGCTTTGCTATGAGCGCATGTAAGGCGGAGCCCGCCGCATCTGACCAATCACGAACATGGACCAGTCTGGAGAGTGAAGGACCGTGTACTTTACAAACAAGGAGCAGGAGACGATCATGAGAAAGTATGAAGAATTCAAATCTATCATAAACCTCAAAGGCAACACCGTCGCCACTGCAAAAGCACAGAATAAATGCTGGCAGAAAATTAATCTTTGATGCCATTATCACCCTGAAATAGCACTGTTCAACATGCGCTTTTAACATGCACCAGACATGTCTAATTCATTTCCAAGATGATTTAATTCATTTGTTCATTCCTATCGTGTTTACATTTTTTTGTGAAATGTCGGCCATATGAGTCTTTCATAAAGGTGGTCATCCGGAAAAGTTAGTGTGTCCGTGCGGTCCCTGAAGACTCTTGCGCGCCGGAGTGCTCCTCGGGCAAAGTGAGCACCGAGGTTTATAGGATCCTCCAAGAACGGACAAGCCATTTTTCGAGAGAGCTCATTGGTCAGTGGACGGGGTTTTTGTACTCTGTGAGTTCAATCTGGAGCCTAACCTGCCCCGGAGCAGGTTAGCCATTCAGCGTACGTTGCCATGGAGACTCACCTCACTAAACAGTGAACCCGTGTCGTAAAACAGGAAACCCCGAGCTTACCCTCGAAGCCAAGTGTGGCTTAAGTAAGCAGAGCTTGCACTCTTCATCCTCCTTACATCCACATGCCTGTGCTGGTTTTACATTGACCTGGTTGAGTGTGCCAGTTTGCCAGATGCAGTCTATATGAATGTTTATCTTCATTTTCTAGATCAAAATAAGGCCAAACCATGACACACTTGGAGATGCCACCTGTGTTTACACCTTGGTCCAGAGCATTATAGCCTCATGTGTTACAGCTCGGTGACAACATTTCAGTCAACAACAAAAATGATATAAATATTCATGAATCATAAAATTCCATTAGATGTGATGAAATATCAGTAGTGCTAAAAAACATCAAATATGGAGTGTTAGTTTGGCTTAGTGGTGTATTAGAAATGAATCTCTTCTTATGAATAGAGATCCCTTCACACAGCCACATTGTCTTTGAGTTGTTTTGTTCTTGCAGCAAAGGAGCAAAAATGTGCCTCTGGTGGGAATGAGAGGTTGCTTGCACGGTATTTCTCTTGTGTGGTGTGTGTGTGGTCTAAAATGTGTTGCTCATCTGTCGAATGTAAATATCATTCTGCGGCTGCAGCTGCTGTTTCTGTGGTCTATCGCTGTGGAAGGCTGTTGTTGGCTCGAGCAGCTCACTTAAGAGGTGTGGAGGCGCTTGCAGTGAGTTGCTGAACCCAGGTTACCCTTTCTACCACTGTGTGAGTCACTGTGAGCACTAGTGACCCTTCCAACATCTGTGTCTCCAACTCTTTCTTTATGAGCACAAAGACACCTGGAATGGGGATGTAGATGCGGGAGGAAGAGCAGATGAGACTTGCCATCTAATGTTAGAAAGAGATTTAGAGAGGTTGTTACAGTATGTCAACAAAGCATCTTTACACAAAGTTGTATCAGAGGTGCCTTCCTTCTAAGCTGGACCCCAGAAATGGTGGAGCTTCAAAAAGGATATTGTAAGGAGAAAGATCACACCATGTACGTTTGTTCTTATTCTCAAGTACATCAGCATGATAGGCAGGGCTTTTGTCCACTGTAAGTTCATTTCTTCACAGCTTTTGGCCAAATTACCTTTCAAGATATAGTTCTCTCACTCAGTAGCTCCACCTGCTTGAGAAAAATATACACATTTTTTCTGAGATCAGTGCCTAGGAAGTCAGACACTTGGTCAGGTGCTTCTTTGCAAAATGTGCACCATTTTCTCAGGGACCTCCCACTGTGGAATGATCTCAATTAAGAGCAGCACAACTGCTGCTGTTTGATTTTTAGCAGGAAAAGCTTCAACCCATTTCGACCACGTCAACCATTACTAGACTGTTTCTTTTCTATGTGGTTCAAGTAATAAAAACATGTTGAAATGGCCTGTTGGGTGGTGGACGTGCTGCAGCGTGATGCAATGGCCTTGTTCTGCCTGTGTTGTATGACTTGCAGTATTCAAGAGCAAACCACTTGCTATCTACAGCTGATCATCTTTAGACACATGATCTAACCCATGTGCCAACTTAGCATAACAATGACAGAGTACTAAGGCAGGGCTTTCTTACAGGAGAGATCCAACCACCCTCCTTTTGATGAAAGCCTTCTCTCTGCCACTGTTGTTTTTTAGTCTGTGTAGAAAAAGAAAGTATGTCAGATAGGTCTGAGGTAGTAGTGGTCCATGGTGACTCAGAAAACCTGTGAAGTGGGAGGGGGGACTGTTCAGGTTGCGGCCTAAGCAGCTGTATCCGCCCTGGCATTCCCCTCAGAAACTTGGTCAGCCTGGTAACAGAATGGCTGAGAGCAAGTTCGAGATTGTTTTATGATGCAGCATAAGTTTACTGTCTCATTTCCAGAATATCCTGTGCTTACAAAGCACTCCAAAATCATGAACAACACCAAATGCATACCTGGAGTCAGTGTAGACAGTTGCAGACTTATCTTTAACCAGTTTGCACGATTCTGTCTCATCACAAGCTCTGCTGCCTGTGCTGAGTTATAACAAGAGTGCAACACAACAACGAGGTTCACCATCAGAGGGCAGAGGCAGAGAGATGCAGGGTTGAGTGTGGTGGGTCTTTTCACTGTGACGTTTGGCAACTCTAGCAAGGTGGTATGATACCTCAGCCAGTGTGCAGGTGTCAAATGTGGTGATTTCTGTTTAGCCAGTATACTGGAGAGTAAGGGGCCTATAGAGTTAGAGGAGAGTAACCAGGACTGCTTTCTCTGCTGCCACCACAGCTCTCAGACAAGGGGGGAGATCTGCAGCTACTGGATCTAATTTAACAAAGGAATAAGCAACAGGTCTCAATTTATCACCATGTTTTTGTTGCAAGACAGACGTCATGCAGACAGATTTTTAATCAACACACTGGACAAACAGCTTGTCAGGATTGTGTAGGAGTGCAAAGCTTTGCATCGTGCACATGTAGGGGCCGCTAACAAAATTTCATCAACATATTGTAGGAGACAAAGATAGAGTGGACAAGCTACAACCAAGAGCTGGGTTATAGATTGTTGGATCCTCAGTGAAGCCCTGGCATAACCAGGTGAAAGTGTAACACTTGCCATTGAAAGTGAAAGCAAACCAGAGCTGTGAATCCAAAGCATTGAAAAACCATTGTGAGCCCCCTGGAACAGTGTAAGGGTTTAACACATTTATAACATGTGACTGCACAGGGTCAGTCACAGCTTGCAAGTCTTGGACTCATCAGGTTGGCCTGGAGGTCTAATTTTCTTGATTGGAAATATGGATGTCTGAACAGAAGAGTCATCACATAATTACTCCAGTAATGACTTAAAAACAGGAGCAATTCCCTGTTTGACCTGAGGCCTGTAGCCAGATTTAATCAATCAATCAATCAATCAATCAAATTTTATTTATATAGCGCCAATTCACAACAGTCGTCATCTCAAGACGCTTTTCAAGGAACAAGAGCAGGTCTGGACCACGCTCATTGTTTGATGATCAAGAACCAACCTAAGATGGGTTTTGGCCCATCTCAACTAACATGAGTTACAGTGGCAAGGAAAAACTTCCTTTTAACAGGCAGAAACCTTGGGCAGGACCAGCCTCATGCTAGACAGCCACCATGCCGCTGCTGGGTTGGGGAGGAATTTAAGTGTGATAGTGATTGGTTTGCAGTTCTTACTGAGACCAACATCAAGATCAGATGTCATCAGATGTCAGATGCCCACAGATAAGATGGGATGACTGCATGTCGTAGAGAGATACAGTGACTCCAGGTTCAATTCCAACCTGTGGCCTCTTTTTCTTTCCCACTCTTACTCTCTCTCAGTTTCCTGATCTACTGCCCTTTCCCCTCCGAAAAAAGGCAGAGAATCCCATAAATACCCCTTGAAAAATACAGCAATGTTAAGACTATTGATAATTCGTTAAACCAGCTAGGAATTTTAATGGAGGTGACGATGTTTTATTGTGTTGTCCACTTGAGACTCGTGGTCCAGTCCAAGTACAGTTTTTCAAAGCCTGATGCCGATACTGATTATGAGAGAGCAGGGTGGTCTATGGCCAATATACAATGCTGATATCTCCTTTTTTTTTTTTTTTTTTGACAAAGTGCAAAAATGTAACAACAACAAATAAAAAGTGCTGTATTTTGGTGAATATTTAATAAAATTTATGTAGATAGAAAGATATTTGTCTCAGATAAATTTCGCCTGAAGGGACTCAAGGGTCCAGCAGTCTGAAATTATTAAGAAAGAAAAATAGTATAAGTTAAATGCTGAGATGAAAACCAGGGCTGTTCTTCTGGGAGAAACTTGGCGCCAGATGATGGACTTAGCTTTGCGTACAGAGAGGAAACAACTATCTTCAGATAGTCAAAACCAAGGTGAGGGTCATCAGTTCCAGTTTTGCGTGTTGATGTGTGCACTCTGAACTCGCTTAATCCGTCACACATCTGCAGTCCAGCCTGATAAACTGAGTTTTAGTGGATGTCCACCATCAGATATAATCCTGCTCCTCACTCACCCTGTGCCCTCTCCCTCAGCTTACTGCGGGGAGCCGAGCAGATGGGCATGCACAAGGCAGTCAAACCGCAGTTTGGCGGAGGGATGCGCCGCTTCTCCTGTGAGGAAGACAACATCTACGAGAACATCGAGAGTGAGCTGTGCTTCTTCACCTCACAGGTGTGGGATTATTGTTGACAGTATATACACTGTCTGTAATTTTATACACGGTCTGGAATTTATTTCTCTGTCTCTCGTTGCAATGCTTCCCAGGAGCGTCAGAGCATCATTAAGTATTGGCTGGACAATCTGCGAGCCAAACAAGGGGAGGTGCTTCACAACATTCACTTCCTGGAGGGACAGCCTATCAGTAATGCCCACATTTCTGATTTATGATGACTAATCGTTTTAAAAGCTTATTCTTTCATTCAGGCTCATTCAAGCACCTTGTTCAGTAAATTTCATACAAAATGTTCCCTTTGATTAATTTACAATGAAGTTGGCTGTGGTACAAACAACATATAAATCTGAGGCCTTTATTCACAGATGCTCAAATATTGTTTCTCATGTTGTTTGGAAGGTCTTTTTTTATGTGTTATGTGCAGAAATCAGGTGTAAGTTTAATGTTTTGTTGTCTACAGTACCAGAGCTGGTGGCTCGAGGGGTGATCCAGCAGATGTTTCCTCTCCATGAACAGAGGATCCTCAACCAGCTGATGACATCCTGGGTCCAGGCTGTTTGTGAGAGGCAGCCTCTGGGTGAGAGTTTCCTCATTAGATTTAGAGTAGTAATCAGCAGGACGGTATCTTATTTACTCATGCAGGGAAATACAGTCTGCTGCTGTTTGTGTAACTGTGTCAAATTCTTTCTGCTTTGTAGATGACATCTGTGACTACTTTGGAGTGAAGATCGGCATGTATTTTGCTTGGCTGGGTTTCTACACCAACTCAATGCTTTACCCCGCAGTCATTGGATTCCTGCTGTGGATACTGGCAGAGGCTGACCAGGTACTTTACAAACACCTGAAACATCAGTGAAACTGCCCTCTAACTGTTGGATCTATTTGCGCTCTCTCAGCTGTTTTATGTCTTGAGAGTCAGGATTTTCACAGACTTTGATGCCTCATTTGTTGCTTGTCCTGCTGCATTGATGTGATTGTCTTTGTGTGTTTTAAGGTGACAAGAAAGGGAATTTACAACAAGTTGACACATCAAAATATCCACATCTAATATTCACTTTTGCAGTGTGTCAGGATCAATTTCACTAAGCTTTGGTGTCTTTAAATCTTCTCACTCTTTCTAACAGACCAGTCAGGATATCTGCTGCGTGGTTTTTGCCCTCTTCAATGTCGTGTGGGCGACGCTGTTTCTGGAGCGGTGGAAGAGGCGGGAGGCAGAGCTTTCCTACAGGTGGGGGACCCTGGACACCCCCACTGAGTCCCTAGAGGAGCCCAGACCACAGTTCAGGGTGAGAAGATTGATGCTTGAGTTTGAGTGTGCATGGATGAAAAAGCTGTAGTGGGTGAAGAAAGACTTCTCCTCCTCATATCCTGCAGCATTTGCTCAGTTAGACCTACAGTCACAGTCCCACTCTGTTCAAATGGTTAGTAGACCTCTTAAGTTCTCCAAAACTTTCACTAATCAGCAGTCACATTAGTTGGAGTTTCTTTTCCACGTGAAGCTGTTTATTTGGTCTACTTGAATGTTTTATTAGGGAGCAGTTGCGCAACCCTGTAGTGAAGGAGTGGCACACAATACCAGGAAACACGGCTGTGTTTACAAGTGCAGCGTGTCTTCACTCCCCACGTGCTCTGAAAGGGAAGAGGAAATGGGTCTCAGAGACCTTCACCCACCCAACCCCCACCCCCAGCCCACCCCCTGTTGTGTAGATCAAATAGGGGAGGGCAACAGAGGGGCCTAGTTTGAAAAAAACATGGGGGTTCATAGTCTTCCAAGCCCGGCTAGCTCAGTCGGTAGAGCATGAGACTCTTAATCTCAGGGTCGTGGGTTCGAGCCCCACGTTGGGCGCAAATGTTTTAGGGGGGCATTTCTACCAGATGAAGTATGGTTACCCAACAAGATAAGACCAAGAAAGTAAGAAATAAGTTCAGACACAACCCTCTGGGAGACACAACACAAACTGTATCTTTGAAAGAAGAATTCAATGAATGCAGTGATAATCTGAAACAGGAAAATCTGCAAATTAGCAGCCGTTTTCAGCCCAAATATATCCAGTCTACTCTCCAAGTAATGAGATAGAAATAGTGATTTTTATTTAACCAAGCCTCCCCTTGGCTGTTCTTTCCTCTTCTGCTGTCTCTGCAGGGAGTAAAGCGCTGGAGTCCCATAACGGGCTGTGAGGAGTTCTACTATCCGCCCTGGAAAAGAGCTTTGTTTAGATGGCTGGTCAGCCTGCCCATCTGCCTCCTCTGTCTCTGCTTTGTCTTCCTCGCTATGCTGCTCTGCCTGGAACTGCAGGTCTGAATACTTGACACAGCATGAAAGTTATGCAAGACACGGGATTGAAAACGGGGCTGATATTGTTTGGACATGTTTCTCTTGAAAGGTGTAAACCTGCTCCTAATAAAATAACTGAAACAGCATTAAAAAAGAAGGAGTAAATAAAGTGCAGCCTTAAAACTTTTAATGAGAACAATGAATACACAAACCTAACCTTTATATCATGTCTTCAGACAGTTTAATAAAGCGCTTTCAATTTTACCTCATGCCATTTCATTTAGTTTCATGGCTGTGTAAAAATAGCAATGGGACCCGAGAGAACAGATAAGAATGAATAGGACTCATTTAAAATTTATAATGCTTCTAATGCACCTTGCAGGAAGTAGTGATGGAGATCCAGGAGCTACCTGGTATCACAAGATTCATTCCTAAGATACTGCTGGCCCTAACAGTGACCGTATGTGATGAGGTGTATAAGAAGATTGCTTATTGGCTCAATGACATGGGTGAGAGACTTGAAACATACTCAGCACAGTTATGAGTTATTTGATTCTGTGTATGTGTGACTCTGTAAGACTCTGTAAGAAATTAAATGAAAGTGTCCAGAACTGTCATTTAGGTTAAGTGGTCACTTACTCCTCCTTCTGTCTCTTGTCTTTTCCTTTAGAGGTCAGTGAGGCACTTAAAAGATAAAACCTTTTACTGTCATCCATTTACAAATGCTGTTCTTGTATTTATTTCCTTTTCCAGAGAATTACAGACTTCAGAGTGCCTATGAGAACAATCTCATTATCAAGATGGTTTTTGTGAGTCATTCTTTCTCTGCACTTTGGGGTTGAAAAGAGACAGTTCATCTTGTCCTATCAAGTGTCTGACTTCCTGTAATGTTTCCTTCCTGTCGTTGTTTTACAGTTTGAATTCATCAATTCTTACCTAAGCCTTTTCTACATTGGATTCTACCTCAAGGATATGGAACGATTAAAAGAGGTGATGATAAGAGTTTGCAGTAACACAGACATGAATACAAAGTGTAGATCTTTGAGTTCCTGATGGTTTGTTGTAAAGGGGCATTTCAGACAAAACAGACCTCGGATTCCTGCTGCTTTACTGTCTGTCAAGTTTTCTACTCTCACAAGCCAAACAATACAGTCAGCTTTAAAGGCTGTCAGTTTACCGATGGTCTTCTTTTTTGATAGAGTAGGATAAAAGCATCATTGGAGGCAACAGTCAGTTCTGGAGCTGTACTGGTTGCTAGAAACACAGATTTTCAGAGTTGTTATGTTTAGAGACAAAAATCTTGTAATATTGGTCTGAAATGTCCTCTTAATGGCCTCATATTTGACACTTTGTTCAAATATGAGACTAAAAGTGCAACCCTTAGGCTAAAAACATATCTTAAAGACAAACAAAAAGAGAAATTCAGTCGTTGTAAAAAGCAAAGTTGTTGTATTTTTGCTACAGATAATCATGATTTTCAATTTATTTCTCTCACACAAACCTCATTAAGCTATCTGGGCTACACACATGCCAAGAAGTTATAATCTTAAACTAATATAAAGTTATACTATATGAGGATAATATAAAGTCAATATCTTCTTTTTAAAAGATACTTTTCTTTTATATTGTCAAGATGAAGATTAAGCTGTTTTATCATTAAAGGGTAATTCTGGCGTAAGTTTAAGTCATGGTCAAACACACCATAACACCGAGTTAGACACCCCATAGAGAGATGAGTAGTGCTGACTGCTTGCTTCCCTAGTTATACCAACTTTAGCAACGACCACACGATAGCAAAACACAGTGGTCGATGTCTCCACATGCAAACTGCAACCAAAAAGCCACTCATAGCCACAAATAACGCTCCAAACAGCATCTAACTTCATCAACAGTACATATAGGGTTCCAGCACATAGTACTAGCCGTGAACATTTCCTCTAACTAACTAAAGCTGAAGGTGTTACATTTGTGGTGTGAAAATCGGTCAGTAAGAGGTGCAGTGGATGGTTAGCTACCTTCAATCTGTTTCAGATTTGTGAAAAGCTAAATAAAATTCCAAATTCTTAGAATACAGTTATTGTTTTTACACCTCAGGAAAAATAAAAAAGTATAAAACAAAATAAATGGAGTCCTGTTGGCCTGGTTACAAGCTTGTCAGCAGGATGATTGAACAGCTCAGTAGCTTGAATAACAATGAAACAGTAGAAAAAAAGCTTCAACAGCCAAATCTGAAAGATTTTAGATTGAAGCAATGATGTGTTTCACTGCTAATGGATGAGTTACAGTCTTTTTTTATGCCTAATACAGTGTCAGATGCTGTCATGTCAGGCAGAAAAATGGTATGTATGGTATATACTTTTGTGATGCAGTTACAAAGTTTATCTTTCCCACAGATGCTAGCCACCCTGCTGATCTTCCGCCAGTTCCTACAAAACATCAAAGAGGTCCTCCAGCCTTATCTCTATGAACAAAACAAGCTGGGTGTTTTCACCCCAAAGGTGCTGTGGGAACTCCTCCAAGCCATCATCCTTAAATATGGTCGCCTGGCTTTGGGAAAAGCTCAAGCCTCAATGACTGCCTACTCCTTCTTGGGTCCCAAAGGCATCCCTGTCAGTCACACAGCTAATGGTAATCCTGAGCCAAGGAGACGAGGGGATCTGAAAGCCGGATTCAGGCTGTCAGAGGAAGAGTGGGACATGAGTGACAGCAATCTGAAGCAGCGTAAAGTCAGCTTTACAGAGAAGGTTGACTACCAGGACCTGACAACAGAGACGCAGCCAGTGTTTGACAGCTTCCTCGAGGACAGTCCCACCATGGTAGAGGAGGGGATGGACCCGTCCAGCATATTTGACAGCTGTGATGATGACAGTGATTGCGAATCGCTGAGTCAAGTATGTGGTCTCCTTACTTTTATGATTCATTATGCTATGTGTGTACGTTTGTGATTTTTAATCTGAGCACATGATTTATTCAGATTTAGTGAACTATTTCCTCTGAACTGGGTAGTTTCACATGCATTCATTCAGAGCTATCACAGCAACAATAGAAAATAAGCTTTAATGATTATAAAATTGATATTTCTAAATACAGAAACCATATTGATTTTGCTTACAAACCAGAGCCTCATGGGAAATGGTTTATGCAGCGGTGGCATGATGTAGTGAACACACGTGTTTGAACAGCCTTCATGTGCTATTTGCGTTTTCACTTAAGTCTACTCAAACCACAAACACAAAGAAAGCTATTGTCCTCATGTGTACCTCATGACTGATACTTAAAAGACCGTTGGAAAATTTCCCTTCAAAAGTCACAATGAAAGTTACGAAGCACTGCTTGAAGCCCAACTATCTCCCGATGAAGACCTGTGGGTGAAAAGGCTGAAGTTTGATAAAGTAATTGTGGTGTGTAGCAAGTGTGTGGACCAACTTCTTACTGATGTTTTTTTTGTTTCCCTGTACTTATAATCACAACCTTCTTAGTAAATTTAATCCAGCTCCTAGCCAGGCAGGTAGCCAATCTTGGTTAATGGGATAACCAAGAAGACCGAGTTGGTAATATCACCTACGGCTGACTTGGCTTTGACAAGCTCTTTAACTCAAGCATGCATAAAGTGCACAAAGCCTGATGAAGAATGACTGTAGATGAAGAATGCACACTGTCTCATCATGTTCATTCAGGCAAACATTCACAGTGACTCAACGTAGTTGCCAACGAACTCTATTCAACAAATAAGAGGCTTGCAAATAAGATGCTTTGCCATATATTTTTATTCTTGTAGGTTTTGTCATTGTTTTGTTTTACATATTAGTTATCAAAAGAAGCCCACTGGTCTTACTTTCTAAACTAACCCCTGCTTCATCCTAGATACAATAGTAATGCCTATGTGTAACTTTGCCAGGGCTAAGCTTGAATACAAAGTTAAACCCAGCTGCTGTTCTGGTCCCCTCAGGAGGGCTAGCCAACCTTTAGGAAACCAATAGGCTAAGTAACTCCTTGATGACTAATGTGGATTACCATCTATAACATCCAGGGCGATAATCCACTACAAACCGTTATTTTATCATGATGTACAAGACACATACAAAAAAAAAATGCTGTCCTTTTTAAAAAAAATGAATCACTACGTTTTTATAGTTCCGTTTTTTTGTTTTGGTAACTCTTAATTTGGATAGTTCATCTGTTGACACTCTACATGCTATCAGTACATACTGTATTAAGTTAAATATCAATCGTTTTTGCTTTAATTTGGATAGTCTTAACACATTCTCTGCAAATACTAGTTGAGTCTGCTGATGGTTACGATTTACCGATGAATTTAGTGTAATTGATTGTCAATAGTGAAAGAGTTGAACATGCACTGGTAACTTGCTGAAAATTAGTGAACAACCTTTTGCACAAAACGAAACGATGCTCAGGAGAGTTATTTCGAAATGTTGCAAGTTGAACTGCACCTGGAGTCTACAGACCGTTAGTTTAATGCATGTTGCATTTAGTCATGTTGAATATCAGCTGAAATAGTGTTGACATTTAGCTTCAGCTCTAAGTTAAATGCATCTTACTTGTCCGTTAAAAAGAAGTTTGTTGAATGTCAACTGACACATTGTAGACACATCACTGCAGATCTACTGATATTATGTATAAAGTGTCAACAGGTGGACTGTTAAAAAAAAGGGTTGCCATTCTTTTCAATACATGTCAATTAATCAAGTGACAACATGACTGAAGAGTTTGGTTCAAACCAGTCTCTTGTTCGTGACTGCAGAATGTAAGGTATCTCAGTGTACACTAGAGGAAGTATCGTAGTCTAATGTTTACTTTAGCAGGAGACCAAGGATCATGCCACTGTGTCCTCTCCAAAGGAATCTGAATCTCTCTGTCAGAGAAGAAAAAATGCAGGTGAGGGGAAAGAAGAGAAGAAGTCGTGGATCGATCCACCGGAAGAGCCTAAAACTGTCACACTGACCCAAGCAGAGATTGAGAGCTGTATGCAGACTTACGAGGTGAGGAATGTTACCTTTTACTAACTGTAACAAATCCAATAGAACCATTTCTCTTCAAATGTCTTATGATCCCAACAGGACACACTTCAGGACTACCAGGAGATGTTCATCCAGTTTGGCTATGTGGTGCTCTTCTCCTCTGCATTTCCCCTAGCGGCCATGTGTGCTCTTATCAACAACATCATTGAGATCCGCAGTGATGCGTTGAAGCTCTGCACCGGCCTGCAGAGACCTTTTGGACAGAGGGTGGAGAACATCGGACAGTGGCAGGTCGGTTTGTTTTATCATGAGAAGTGTCAGCAGAGCTTCGAAGCTACATTGTCTTAAAGTCTCTATCTCTTTCTTTAACATCAGACTGCGATGGAGGCCATGGGCTTGATCGCCATCATAGTAAACTGTTACCTGATTGGTCAGTGCGGACAGCTGCAGCGGTTGTTCCCCTGGTTGAGTCCTGAGATGACGATAATCTCCATTGTGCTGTTGGAGGTATGAACTGTACTGTCTTTCATTAATGCAGGTTTGTCCATGATGGTAGACTGTGGTTCTCCTTCCAAGATGATACTTTTTATCCTACAAAAGAAATACAAACATGCATGGCCTGCCATTTTTGTCTAATTTGTAAATCCTTCAAATATCTCCTGAATAATCATTGGAGTAGAGTGTTCAGTTTTTTGGGGGGGATTGTGAAGTTAATTGTGCCTTGATGTAATCGTGTGTTGAGCCTGTCCCTCTGTGGTCTCGGTGGTTTTCAGCACTTTGCAATCCTCCTAAAGTACGTCATCCATGTTGCCATCCCTGATATCCCTGGCTGGGTTGCAGAGGAGATGGCCAAGCTAGAATACCGACGAAGGGAAGCTTTCAAGGTATAGTTGTATCATAGCTTGAAAGACCTTCGGCCAATGCAAGGCTTGCTGTTGGCTGCACTTTGTTTTCTTCTACACATGTATCCCATTGTGTCCCCAGTTCACTGGTGTGTACAGTGCAAAGATGTGACAACTTTTCTGACTGCTTGTTTGTGAAGTTCTTGTATCACATCAGCAGCACTTTTCCTGGCAGTGCTTGGTTTACATCTTAACAGGAAACAGAAAATACCACTGTGCCAACAAGTCAGCATTTCATCTTAGAAAAAAAGCTTTTTGTGTGATCTAATAACAGGACAGGATAACCGTTTCTGTGAAAGTAAAACATAGAAGTAAGTTAACAATGCCAAAGCCCCAGTACTACATTAGTAAACTAGTTTTAAAACATTTGTATGAGGCTTAATTTGTAGGGAAAAATATTGTGTGTCTACCTTGGTTTCATTCACTCAAACAGTTTAGAAAGTTTTAATGTGTGAGCACATTTAGCTGAAAAAACAAACGCATGTTCAACCAGGAAATATAGTAATGTACATGAGAAACTCTGAATCAAGAGGACATTTCCAATAAAACAAATGATTAATTTACAAACACCAATTCCAATAAAGTTGGGACATGGTGTGAAATAGAATACAATGATTTGCAAATCTTTTCTGACCAATTTTCAATTAAATTTACTACCAAGACAAAATGTTGAATGTTCAACCAGCTTCTCTTGGCCCGAGCTCATCTGAGATGGACTGACCCAAAGAGGAAAAGATGGCTGTGGTCTGATGAGTCCATGTTCAAAATTATTTTGGAAATCATGAAAGTGGTATCCTCTGAGGAGGACAAGGACCATCCGGTTTGTTATCAGGTCAAAGTTCTAAATTTAGCAGATGATATGGGGGTGTGTTAGTGTCCATGGCATGGTACATACAGGTTTTTAACATCTGCTGCCATCTAAGTTACGACTTTTTTAGGGCCAAGACACATTCTGCAGGTGTTACAACAGCAGGCTTTGTCATAAAAGAGTGTGGGTACTTGACAGGCTTGTCTGTAGTCTAGACCTGTCTCCCACTGAAAATTGGTGGCCCATTATGAAACGCAAAATACGACAACAGAGACCCTGGACTTTTGAGACACTGAAGTTGTCCATCAAGTAAGAATGGGAAATAGTTCACCTCCAAAGCTTCAATAATTAGTGTGCTGAGTTCTCAAACACATATTAAGAGCTGTTCAAAGGAAAGATGATGTAACACAGGGGTAAATATAATCCTGTCCCAGCTTTTTTGGAACATACTACAGCCATCAAATTCAAACGGAGTGAATATTTGTAAAAAACCCTTTGAACTTGTCTTTGTAGGGTATTCAACTGAATACAGGTGGGAAAGGATTTGCAAATCATTGTGTTCTGCTTTTTATTCACATTTACACAACATCTAAACTTCACTTGTACTTTCAAAAGGAACCAAACCAAAATAATCAGTCTTGTTGTTATTGGTGTTTTTTTGTGTGGGTAAAATGCAGACATCACTAAAAACTCAGAGGAGCTTTAAAATAAATAAGTTTCATCAACAAAAGTTCATAAAAGCACGAATGCAAACTTCACATTACAGCTACATTATTGATTTCTGTCAGCAGATAGATTTTGTATTTTGGCTGTTTGGATAGTTCAAGGTTATTTTATGAGCACTTTTCAAGAAAAATCTCTGCACAAAGCAGACACAGGTTTATTTCAAAATGAATAGTCATCTTCAACTTTGATCTCCTAAACTCTAGATATCAGTGAGAGAGTTAAGCTTCATGAGGGGCTGCTGTTGTTGCCTGAAGCCACCAGATGTCACTGTGAAGACTGAGAGAGTAAAGCACCAAAACTTAACGTCACTCCCAGACAATGCTGTTAAAAAGAAAACCATCAGACAATGAGACATACAAGTTTATTTACTTTTAATTTAACACACTGGTCTGAAAAGTTTTCCCTGGTTACTTTCCGTTCACTACCGCCATGTATTTTATACACTTGTTCATTAAGCACTGTCTTTTCCATGTGCTTACTGTGTCATGTGCTTCTCTCTTCCTCTGTGTCTTCTTCTTCACCTGACTCCTGTTGTAGAAACACGAGCAGCAGGCCCAGCAGCACTTCCAGCAGCAGCTCAGACGCCGCCGGGAGGAGGAGGAGCTCCAGCGTCAGGCCGAGCTGCAGGCTGAGGCCCGCCAGGATAGTGACTACCACAAAACGGACTCCCAACACCAACACCACCACGACAAGACATCAGGGGGCAAACCAGGTGAAAAGCCCAAGAGACCCAGCTCCCTTCTGGGGAATAACAACGTGATGAAACTTAAGCAGATCATCCCTCTGCAGGGAAAATTCTCCTCAGGGACCTCACGCTCACCAGCTCAGTCCCCCACTGGAGGAGAGGCAAAGCTGCCTGGATTTCTCAAGTTCTTGAAGTCACCTGAGGTGAAAAAGGAGCCGGCTGTAGCAGCTGGAGCAACACCAGGATCAACAGTGGCCTCGTCAGTCCCCCCTGGTGGCCAAGAGAGATCACAGTCTCCTAACAGGACATTCAGTCCCGGGAAACTGTTTAGTTTCAGCAAATCAGAGGGGACTGTCGTGTGTGTGAACGGGACACAAACAGCAAGTCAGCCTGCTAATGCTCAGACAAACAGAGCTGAGTTAAACTCAAGCCAGGAGGAGTTACCTTCCAACGAGTCAGAAAAAGGAGAATCAAGACAGTTGACTGATTCAGAAAACTCTGGCTCAAAGAGTTAATAAACACGAACCTTTAACAATGTAATCTAATAAACTGAGAGCAATGTAAACAGACAGTGATTCGCCTGTACTGTAGGAGAACACGTTAGTCACAGGGGACCACATGTAAGGTCAGCGAGCGGTAGACTTTCACCTCTTGATGCAACTTACTCTGCACAAAGTATTCTACTGTATTATTAACACTTGATTAGCCAGCTTCCATGTAAAAAGATGTACAGTACATGTAAGTCTGTGAATGGGGCTTGAATCTAAGGTGATAGTATTTGCATGACTGCCTGGTTTTTAACTGCACCTTAACAGGCGATGCTGATGTAAAGGCTCATTTTTTAAAAAACCAGGACTGACGCACTGATGACTTGACAGCAGCTCCCCCTTCCCCCCGTCTGTTTCTCATTCTAATGCCTGTCTCTGATGCATGCTGCACCACATGCATGCATTACACTTCCATCACATCTTTTCAGTTGTGGAGCACTTTTCAAGCCATTGTATTCTTCTGCAATAGGTCAGATTATATTCACTGTGACCATAAAAAAATATTCTATTTTTCTTAACTTTGGTTTTCTATGAATTATTTTACTACATAAATTAGTGAATGTAACTCTAAAATGCAAATAAACATCACTTGAATAAACATCCATCAAAAGATAAAGTCCTGGCTTCCTGTGTTACATATAGAAAACAGGATTAGATGGTAGAACGAGTTTGTGATGATTTTTCACATGAAAAAAAGGAGCATGTATATTTTAAACAACTCTTTGTGTTGTTAAATGAGATACAGCCTTTACTGTATGTCACAGTGAAATCTATACAAGAACCTAAGAATTCAACAACAGTATATTTGTACAAGGAATTTAAAATCAAAACGTTGAACAGTAAACAAATCTCAGGCATGATGACAAATATGTGTAGAATGAACACACTCTTCTTTGAAGAGCTAGAACTGTGAAACTGCCTGAATACTGCACAAGTTAGACCAAAGAAACTGAAACTTCTGGTTATACTACAAATGATCCAAATTGAACATAATGTGATTTTTCAACCTTTTTTTTTTAACAATTTGTTGTGACAGGAAAAATGTCCATTGACGGTCTCAACAGTTAACACAAACATCGAAAATGTCTCAGATTGCTGTTTTTAGGTGTGCAAAGACGGATGTTTACAGGAGATGAAGAGCAGAAGTATCTCAGGTCTTTTGTTTTGAATTCCTAAAGAATAAGTTGACTGAAGAAACTGCTTAACGTAACTGACTTAAATAACTGATGGAAACGAAACGGCGAGTTATTTGTTACCAAATACAGGGTCTGAACAATCACATTATTAACACTGTACAAAAATAATACAATATGCCTTTTCCATTTTGTGATTAACAAAAACACACACTGTACACTGATCAGCCTTTTGAGCAAACTTGAATGAACCCACAGACATCACTTCAGCTACAAACCTGTCATTACTCTTTAGGCCTGTATACCAAGGTAGAAGGGCTGCTGATAAAATAGTGATACAAAATAAGTCTGGCTACAGAAAAACAGCTTTCATCCTCTGTTTTTTTTTACTGTGTTGGTTCAAATTAGTCATAATAATATGACTTGACGATTCTTTCAACTCAACTTACTTCTTTACCAACGATATAAAGAAAATTGGCCAAACATGTCATTACCTTATTTGTTTCCTTTTTTGAGCCCAAAACAAACCCCAAATGGATAATCGAATTTCAGCAACAAGAAAACACACTTATTTGTTTTGATTGCTGTGCGAACAGTAAAACAATTTCAGTCAAACTTTAAAAAAAACTTTTTGGAGAGGGACACGTCACAAATCAGGATAAGTCACCTAATAACATCCACAGAAACATGCAGATCTCACAGACAAACAAGAACAATGACAATATCTGGTTTTAAACCCTAAAAGAGTATTCAGAGTGAATTTACTCCTTGCATATTTCAAAGAATCCTGTGTTAGCTAAAGCAAAGGGAGGAAAGAAAGGTGGAGGAATAAGGAGGTAGATTCCTGTTATTTTAACTTGAGATACTAAAATCTGAGGCAGAGGTGTCTTGGGAGGAAAGAAACTGCTGGTCAAAGTAGAGCTGAGGGGAAACATTTCTGTGTATTTGGTAAATGAGGAACGCAAAGGGAATGCAAACATTGAGACCAGTGTTTCTTAGGATTTCTGTCATGTCTGATCTGAAGTGTGTGCCTTGTGTGCTTCAGGCCCAGGTTTGCAAACGTATGTATCCTGCGCCCATGTGTACATGCCAGTCTTTGCTGGGCTGCATTTGCGTCACAGCAACTCATGAATCTTCATTCAGCCCCTGACAGTCTGTTCTGGCAATTTTCCGTGGAGGCGCCATGTTCTCCCCTTCTGGCTGTTCTTGCTCTCGCTTTTTGGCTGCATTCTGATGAGAGAAAAAAAGGAGTTTGCTTAACAAAGTGTGAAACAGAAGGCATCTGTTGTCTCAAATGATACAATCAGCATCAATTCTTTAATTAAATGAAATATTCTAAACGCGTTACCTTTTTGTCCCACTGCTGATGAAGATATCGCAGAAGGATGTTTGTCTTCTCTGTGACTATGACTGAGCAAAAGACAGAAAAGTGAATGATCATTTCAAAGAAAGTGTATTAGAAAATGCAGCTCAGATCGGGTGTGAGTGTGAGGAATATCAACTTGACTAACTCTCTCAGAGATTACCACATTATAGACAAATACACAACAACAAAAAAGGAGTTTGTGGGGATACACGATTGAGCAGGTTTTTTCATATTTTACAACATTACCTATAAGTGTTGGTTGTTTGGATTTGACATGGGCTAAATGTGAAACTGTGAGGTACACTTGTGTTGGAGAAAGATAAGACTGCCGGCTGCTCTGAACCGCCTGTTCGGAAAATAACTCCAAGTAAGATCCACACCAGGTTAGCTCAAACTGGGATCTCCTTAAAAGGGCACCCTCGACATAAAACTGTTTTCTGTTTAAGGATTTTCCTGACCTTTCCCAAACTTCCCAGGTTAGACTGAGGCTCTAAAACAAATGGCCGTAGTTTATAATTTGTCATTTTTAATTGTGAAAATTTTTTCAACCCAATAAGGACAACATTTTATTATTGCAACAGTGGAGGAGAGTTCCGAAGCACTAGGTGCCATAGTTTTAGAACTTTAAATGCCTTAAAAGTGACTGAAATAAAGTATTTCAGACAGGGGCTAGAATGAGGGTTTTCAAAGACTCCAGTCTGAATTAAATAAAGAATTTACTGAGCTCTACACTGAGCAAAGCTAAGCTAATACAAAAGTGATTAGGACGATCAAAAAAGCTTGAAAATGAGGATTAAATTCCCTCTTGATCCATCTTACCAAAATGTTTACTGAAATGTGAACATTTTACTCCCAAGCCCAGCAAAGCTCTGATTCAGATCAGACAGTGTCTCTGTATTGATTATTGGTATCTTTTAAAATAAATTTTAAGGCTCTTTTATTGTTAAGCAAAGCTCTTTGTGTTCTAGCCCCTTCCTATCTATCAGATCTACTTCTAACTCATGAGCCTATGAGATACCCCAGCTCACCAGGTACTGGTCTTTTAATAGTGCCTAAAGTACATATGAAAAAATGAATCTAAAAAATGAAGTTATGCAGCTTTGTACTGCAAAACAGCCCATCTGAAGAGGGTGGCGCAAGGTATCAACATTTTTAAAAGCAGAATCAACAACTACTTTTTTAGTCTGGCATTTTACTTAGTTTTGCTAATTGTCTTACTAGTTTTTAATGATTCTCTGCTCATGTGAAGCTCTTTGTACTGCATCTTGTTGTTTGAAAACAAGCCTGATTGATTGATTGATCAATTGATTGGTTAGTTTTCAAAGATCAATGCACTTACTCTGCTCTGATGGATACTCTCTGGTTGGAACATAGACAGATGGTCTGCGGTTCTAGAGAAAGTCAAAATTCATGTTAAGTCTACTAAACCAGACCAAACGACATAAGTCAAAAATACACTTCTTTGACCAAAGACTTGTTGTTTTGTCTTAAATGTGAGAAACAATAAGGTAACTTACCGATGCTTTGCATACAGAGTCTGCATGAAACCTGCTGAAGTTATTTTTGTTGTAGACAGGTAGTCCTTTGAGGAACTCTCCCTGGAACCAGAACAGACAAAAGAGGCAAAAAAAATCGTTTTAAAAGGAAACTAAGTGTGAGGTGGCAACGTTGATGCCATCAACAACAACCATAGAGGATAACAGAGAGCAGCTTGTTCCTAAAGTTCAACTAAATACAAAGGCACTTTCATATCCAGTACTTCCCACACCGTAACACAGTTATTGGCGCCTATAAAGATAAACTACTTAAAGCTTACAATACACAAACAGAGTAGTAGCAGCAGACGTACCTTCTCCATTTCTCCCCGGTCTTCAGAGCACGTTGAGGGTGAAAAACAGCAGACGTTGCTGCTGTAGCTAGCTACTACCTAAGCCCTGTTGTCTTTGTCGTAGCCAGGACACCGGTGTGTTTATCTGTTCGACAGCTTCCTACGACCGCTATAAACTATTAACAACGTAGGATATCGGTATCATGGCATCGTGCCACTTAATATTAACAAAGAAATAGCTCCTCTGTTTAGATTACTGTATCAGAATCGAAAGCGAACGTCCTTAAAGAGCTGACTTGCCCGTTGTTCCCAACTCCATTTTTGTTTTTCTGTTCGGGGGCGGTTACCTTTTGCAATTCCTAGAATTTCATTGGTTGAAGAATGGTAAATCTGTGACGATAGAGAAAAACAGTGCGCTGATTGGTCAAGGTTGATTATGTAATAGACATACACTCGCCACATACTAAACATGCGGGCTTAGGGGCACAAAAAACAATGAAGTTTTACACGACTGTAGCACTGACTGTATGTACTATATATGCAGTCAATGGACTGTAGCTAAACATAACGACCTTCATGCATTATACTTCAATGTAACAGGTGACTTTTACACAGGTTGTTTACAGGGGTGTTTTTGTAATCTGTCTATGTACTTTATTAGTGTTGCCTATTGTAAGTGGTCATGGATACAGAAGTTAAGATATCTAAAACGTGATTTAACATTTGAAATTAATCGAACTAAAAACAGCTCAGTGACTGCAAAAATGTGTTAGCCAAATCTGGAGGTGAGGGATTTTTTAAGTATGGCTCTTATACATGTCCATTTCTGCTCAATGAGTGCCTTTCCAGCCCTCAAAAACTTACTTTCAAACGAACTATTAAATGAATTTAATGGTGAAGTAAAGTTTCCTTTACATTGATTAAATTATAAAATCAAGAAATTCGTGTGTAAACATCAACGAAATCTGCAAACTACAAATAAAAACTACATTTCACTATTTATTTATGATGATTAAAATACCTAACTTAACATCTGATCTTTGGATGGATATTTTGTGGCAAGTCCATTTTACTTGAATTTGATATTTTCATTATACTGAGTAAATGGGAGCCAAAGGTTACAACTTTCACGAGGGAATGGATACTGTGCAGTCTCAAATGGTGGGGTAAGCTCTTGCTCAGACATCTCTCCTGGTTTTGCCTGCTCTGTCTTTTTAACAACTCTCTACATGCTCTTTTCTTTGTTTTCTCAACCCTCTCTCCTTCTAGGAAGCAGAGCAGCCTCCCTGACCCTGTGGGGTATGAATTCATGCCCAAGGAGGCCTCTCATTCCTGCTCTTTCTCCCATCATGTTATGTACAACTCACTACATGTCCTTCTCATTGCTTTCTTTTGGTTTGTGAAGGCCACATGGTCGGCAATATCAGTGTTTTCACCAGCTAAAGCTTGTGTGTATGGAGTCTGGGTCCTTTTACCACGGTATCGCTATTTGTGTTGTGGTTCTACAGGTGAACATGGACAGTGGGCGCAGGAATGGCAGAGGAAACTGTTGAGTTTTTAAAGAAAGCTTTTAAGAAAAGTGCGAGCTGAAAGATCTCAGTGATAAACTGGCTGAAGCTGTCCATCTATCCTGAATTTATCACTTTGATTTTTGATCATAGTACACGTACATTCCTCACAGATTCTTTTTATTTTCTCAGTCAATCAGAATATCTGTTTCTTTATTTGAAACTTCAACACAGATTTTTACAGGAATAATTTTAATAGTGAATGAAATGGTTTCCCACACACACACACACACAAAAATAACAAGACACCTGCAAACATCTTAACCAAACATTATCGGTCAAAATAACTAGGTGAAACTGTAGAGCTTGTTTACTGATGGCAAAAGTTACTGGTTTGCTGTTGGCCAGTTTTCATTGTCCTACTTGTTATTAATGCAGAGCGACTGCAAAACAAAAGCCCCACCCAGTATCACCAGTTAACCCATTCAACGTGTCCTCGCTGCTAGATTTCCAAATCCATGTCTCTTTCCAGACAGGTCCTGACAGGGGTCTTCAGTGGGTGAGGGATTTGCGTCCTTTAAGCATGCGTCGCAGAATAACCTCAATGCCACTTCTTGAGCTGATTCTCTTGATCCAGCCATGGGTCCTCTTTCTTTTGATGTTCTTGGGCTGATACTCCGTTCCTCTTTTCCTTGTTCGTATCTGCTGGTACATCCACGGACACTGCTGGAGTACTTCTGAACCCTCCGCTTGTGAAGAAAGAGGCCCACATCTGTAAACCAGGGGTCCTGTGGTTGCCCTGGGCATCATCCAGTTGCTGAAAAATCTGAGGTGAGAGGAGCCAGTCACAGCCACATTCCCTGCAGGTAGACTGTTAGAAAAGAAATAGAAAAGATAGTCAAAATTGCCCTAGACAGTCATATTGGCAGGGGGTGACACTAGCAATACAGAAGGTGCTCCTTTCCAGCAATCTATTTGGAAAAGATTATTAAGACAGGTATCTGTTAAAGATTCTACTGGCGGCCAGCAAGAAGGCTGTAGCATGAAGGTGGATGCAGGCAGCTTCCCCAGCAGTGACTGACTGGATAGATACTGTAAATGCTATACAGAATATGGAAAGAATGACCTTCTCACTAAATCACCAGGTGGATAAATTTCTGCAGTACTGGGAAAAATGGATTGTGTTTGTGAACTCACAACCTGATGCTCGAGCCATTATTGTATAATATCTGACATGTATTTCTATTTGTGATAACAACAACAGTATGAATGTACAGGTGACCAATTGTATGCTTCAACATGTTCAGTTGAGTGTTTCTATAAAAATCAAGTATTGAAAAAATGCCCCAGAATGCTAATATCACACTGTGATCGAGGTGTTTCATGTGTAAAGGAGTCTCATGCAGCGATCCTCAGCATTGAAATTACATTTGAAATCAAATGTTAGCAACTGACTTGACACCAAACTATGTTTTTTCCATTTATTTCATGGGTGTCAAACTCAACCACAGCATGGATTTAGGTCTAACCTGAGGGCCCAACAGGGTCAACATTTAACCCAAACTGTCAGCCTCCTTTTAAAAATATTTATAAGAAAAGCAATGTTTAGAAACCAGGAAATTCAAAAAAGTAAAAAAGATAAGTTTAAAGGCAATCTGAAATTAAAAAAACAAAAAACAAACAAACAAAAAAAAAAAAAACCCAATATATTAGTTCAAAAGAACAGGACACGATATTAAAAATAGAAAAACAATGCTTTTAAAGAGCAAAGATATGAGGAGAAAGTTGCAATCATAAGTTTGAAGGGTCAAAACACAGGATAATTTTGAAATCAAGAGTGTAAAGTTAAAATGTGACTTAAATTTTAAAATTGGAATCAAAAGGATTAAAACGACATAAGACTAATTACTGAGCTGAAAAAAATCAAGCATGAAATAAAAGGTCAAATCATGTTTGACTTGTAATGTTGAGATGCAAAATTGGAAATATGAATATATATATATATATATTTCCCCCACATTTTTGACTATTAATAAAATCTTCTTTACTCTTACAGATTTTCAAGGCTTATTGAGGATATTTTAAATCATATTGCAAAAGTTGACATTGTTATACTGGAGGGAATCTGCAGACCTCATACTGGTGGGCCAATAATAATAGAAATATGGTATGATCTCGTGTGCCAAATAGAATTGTTCCACGGGTTAGATTTGGCCGTCGGGCCTTGAGTTTGACACCTGTGACTTATTCATATTTGAAAGATTGTGAAAAATATATTTTGCAAATTTCATAGACCAATTCGAGCCAGACGGTGTTAGATTCATGCAGATTTCACACGACTGTATTTCTCATGACTCTGTGTTTTAAAAAGCCGATGAACTGTGATCAGTTAAAGTAATCATAAGGGCCATTGACTGAAATGGTTCGGGTCTGGCTCCACTGTCGACCCGTAGAGGTCTGATTACACCATTAGCTGTGACTGTGATCTACTGCAGATGAGGCCAAAACCTCTCTTCAAAGTTCCTAAGTAATACTGTGACTTTTTAATGTCTAACGTCCCCTGCAGACGGCATCAGTAAAACCTACTTTGAGTTTCTGTAGGATAAGCTTCTCCTCAACTCTAAGCAGAAATCAGGTGACTGAAAATTATTCCCAATCAGTCGGCATGCTAGCTTGGCATCGTAAACTACCCATAATGCTAACATACTGCTAAGCTAATATGCCAATGATAATGTCAACAATCTAACCTAGCTTTGTTGTTTGTCTTTTGTATGAATACGTCGACTCGATTACCTTGTGATATAACAGTTGCCCCGCAGTCGGGATAAGGACGACCGTATGATGTTCATTTTCAGATATTTACACTTAACACATGCATGAGAACAGTGAATGTCACAGCTCTGCAAGGCACCAGCGAGCACGGAGCGCAATGATTGGCTTAGACTACCGAGCCAATCGAAAGGCGTTTTGCTGAAGTCTGGCGTTTTCCTGCCCTGCGCAGCGCTTTTCAGGTTCGTGTCTCAAGCGCTTCACTGTTTTCTCCAAAGCAATGCCGTTAATGTGTTAACTATTAGTATGATTTTGATGATTTGCAAATAATTGAAATGATGTATTTTATATAAATAATACAAAGATAAAACAGCATTGTGTAAATATTTGGAAACCCAGGAGACCAGTTAATTGAGTTTCTAAAGAAAAATGTTATTTAGGCCTGAAGCATTATGTAAGTTGCTCAGCACTCAACTGTTTTTAGCCACCTTTGTCTTAATATTCGTGTCATGGTGATATGGGACTAGCCAGGCCACTTAATCTACAGAGATATTGTTGTAATGGGCGAAAAACGTATTTTGTCAGTTTTTTTTTTTTTGCAATATTAACAGAAAGTATTTCCTAAACAGATATTGTTTAAATCGCAGCATTATACTCTAAAAACTGTTAATATCATTCAGCATTAGTGATGACTGTTCCAAGATGTGTAATTTGACCATACCACAGGCATTTATACATCCCCATGCTTTGAACTGTGGGCTGATGACAGGCTGAGTGGTCTGTTACCTCTTTAAATTGGAGGATGACATGCATGGTTTTCAGAAAGACTGTCTATTATAGACTTTTTTTTATTTGTCTGATAACGTGGCCTCAGTCAATCTAAAATGGACTCATACCCAGAGAGGTTGCCAGCATTTCTGGTTCATGGTTTTCTCTTATGTTTAGTTCAGTTTTAGCTTGCATTAGTGGATGTAAAGACATATTGTATTCACATACAGTAGATTGTGGATGTGATTTCAAGCTCAAGCAGTGATTTTCATTGCTGAGTCATACCTGTGTTAATGCAGTGCCACCTGAGGGCACAAAGATCACAACCATCCAGCATTGGTTTTAGGCTTTGATCCATCTGGATAGACATTTCTCCAGAATCTTTTAATAATGATGGTTTGTTGTGTAGTTGATAAAATCCCCAAATTCTTCACATTAAAAAAAAAAAAAAAAATCTCTAATAGACTCTGCCTCTCTGGAATAATATGCACAGTCATGTCATATAACTGTTGCAAAATAACCTAACCAGTTGAGAGATGTGTCTCAAGGTTTTTCTTTCTTTGCACTACACAATTTTTTCACCTATTTGTTGTCTGTGTCCGAATGGTTTTGAAATATGTTGCTGGCATCAAGTTTAATATGAGCATATATTTTTCATAAAACATATCAAATTTCCAGTTTAAAGAGGGGGTATTACGCTTCTTTTGTGACTTTATATTGTCCCTCTGAAAGCCTTTTAGCAGCTTTACATGATTTATAGTTCAACAAACACTCACATATTTTAGGCTGCTATTTTTGAATACCCTCATTTTAGCCTTTGAGAGGCTTTGTTCATGCCACTGTCCATTTAAGGTCATCTTACAGTCACTGCAGCGTTTGACATATGACACAATTTGGGGAAAACTGTAGATGATATGTAAAGGATTTCTTTTACACCAGGTCCTTTCAACAATGCACAGCAGGAAATAATAAACATTTTGAAAATAGTTATTTTGTAAAGCCCAATTTATTCTTTAATATTTAAACTTCAAATATGCTGAAGGAGAACACTGATGTGTGTAACACTGGCTAGATCTGAGATATATTTATAACACATCATTGTAAAAGGGAGTCAAAGACAATGCAGAGACTGTCGATGGGAGAAGGTTCAAAATCATGTTATTAAAATATGGTTTAAACATGAAATGAATAAGATTATGTCAAAACTTCAATCAATCAATCAATCAATGAAATTTTATTTTTACAGCGCCAATTTACAACAGTCGTCATCCCAAGACGCTTTCCAAAGAAAAAAAGCAGGTCCAGACCACGCTCATTGTTTGATGAGTCATCAAGACCCAACCTGAGATGGGACAGATTTGCCCCTTCTCATCTAACTTAAGTGACAGTGGCAAGGAAAAACCTCCTTTTAACAGGCAGAAACCTTGGGGAGCACCAAACAGACTCATGCTAGACAGCCACCAGGCCGCTGCTGGGTTGGGGAGAAATACACAGAGATGGGGGGAAGAGAGAAGTAGGAGAGAGGGCATGGAGGGAGAGAGAGAAAAATATAGAGGGAAGGAGAGAGAGAATGAGTAAGGGAGAGGGAGGGAGAGAGAATAGAGAATGAGGGTGAGAGGGAGAGAGACTGGGGACAGCAGCAACATTAAAACAACAGTAACAACAACAACAGCTCATGCAAAGTTGTGGTTGCAGAGCAAGTAAACTTGGATTTTTAAATTTAATACTTCTAAAATATCTAATGCCCTGGATTATTTCTTGAAGCATTTATTAGAAAACCAGTGAACATGAGACAGTAAATGGTGACAACAGTCACTACACATTTGTTGGCCCTCTGCCCCAAAAACGTCACAGCTGGTCCTCCTGTGATAGGCACCAGGCTCTCCCCGTTTGATGAGATCTCAAGTGTAACACAGGGAATTGGCACAACTTAATTAAATTAGGTTACACTTAAAGGTCATGTCTCATTTCAGTGATGAAGCCGTAATAACGCGCCTTCAGGAGCTGATTATGATAGTGAAGGTAAGATTGTAGGCTTGAGTGTAGGATCTGTTCAGTGCACACACATGCAGTCCTCGTGGGCACGGTGTATTACTAATGTGTTGGATTGTCATATTTCTCTTTTCTGTCACTCCCCCTTGCACTTGTGCGCGCGTACACACAGGCACGCACGCGTTTTGCCTTTCTTTCAGCCTTGGCAACAAGGAAGCAAGCGCCTCCCATTGGCCTCCTCTCAGTGTTCTGCTGTCTTCCATTCGCTTTCGTCTCTGCCACTCAGCTGTGAAAATGCCTGGAGCTCGTGGTGTGTTCTGCGGATGCAGGGGGAGCAGGGCTGGGCAGGGTCCGGCGTGAGTGCGCAGTGGATGCTGAGGAAGGGAGAAAAAAAACATGATCGTTTGTAACCGTCATGGGTGTCTTATCGGAATACCAGTGGCACAGATTGATGGATGCATGCTTTACCATCAACTCAAGCCTGTCCCAGTTGTGTGACAGTGGTTTAATGAGGCTAATAAGAAGCTTGGAGTATTCTGCAGCATCTCTAGCGTAGACAAATTGTTGCACCCAATGCAACGTTTTTCGCAGTTCAGTCTCTTCTGGCCTTTACTTTCAGCCTTCGGCGCAGATCCATAAACACCCTCTCCGAACTTGAATTTTGCAGGTAAGGAATCACATTTTATTACGTTCTTGTTTGCCAATAAATCACTTTTATTGGGAGACGTGTAGCTCGTCATGCGCATCAATAAAAAGCGGCGTAAAGACGCCATGCAATTATCTCGTGACAGCGCTAAAATAATAGCCAAATCTATCAATCAATAAAACAAGCGTAGCAATTATAACTCTCGTGCAGCACTGCCATAGATTTAGATGATTTTGGGATTTTGCACTGAGGCTCTTATTTGGGCCTAGATGACGATTTTTAAGAAGATTGGCTGCAGATTTTCACTATTAATAGCTGGGTGTTTGCTGTTAACTGACAGTTAATGACAGTGAGTTGAAGTGCGCAGTCTACTGCTGCAGTTTGCGGCTTGATATTTTGTTGTCATAACGCTGTGGACGCAGGAAAGCTGCAGGACATCTGTGCCAAAGTCCTTTAAAAAAATATGGTAAAAAGCACTTGAAATTGTTTAATTTTCCGAAATATCCACATTAAATGTGCAGATGTGATGTCAGACAGGGCCGTACTGTAACGTGCTTTGAACCAGTGAAGCACAGCGTGTACTAAATGTGTGGCAGACATATCAACCTACATTTTCTGCAGTGCAGACAAAAAAACTAAACAAAACATGGCTGAGTAACTCCTGCTATTTGACCTGAGGGTTTGTGGCCTTCAGATGTGGGTCCATTTGCACCCCTCAGCCATGTTCAAAGCCTGTCTGACCGTACTGATGGATTGTAGGTCAGGAGGAGAATCCCTGAGATGATGACAGGGCTGCAGATGGGTGCTGATGCAGTGTTGTGTTGTGCTAATGAGCTGTAGTGGCATCTTTACACTTGTTATTCACCACCAACACTTTAACGTCATCATGTAGCACTTGTTACTGATGAATCACAGCAGATAGATAGATAGATAGATAGAACAACTGAGCTGCTGTTCCCATGCACTGTATCAGTGCTCCATTTTGTTGTTTACAAAGAAACGGGCCCCTCTCTCAACATTCACTGGGCTCTTCTTTGTAACTGGATAGCACATGATGATCTGACCTTCAGACCATTCTGCCACCACCAACAACAACAAACATGCTCACGTGCATGAACCAACACATGCACAATATCATAAACCTTTTTGTGTAGCTGCAGTCTTAACCAAGATAAACAAGCTCCTTTTACCTTTTAGAGTCCCGGCCTTCAGAGGTATGGTGTGTTAAGGTGTGAGTCATTCGTTCACCCAGATAGGGTTGTTATAAAAACTTATTTGTGCTGGCCTAGTTTTCAAACATTCACATAAGAAACACATTATAACAAATGTCATGAATTACATCTGCAGTTTTTAAATAATGTATAGACTTAGAAAAGGATGCTATATTGTAAGGAAGGGGAGATATAATTATCATAAAACATGCTGTAGGGTTCTTATAAGTTAAATAACTTTCCAAAATATGAAAGCTGAGATACAGAACCCTGGTATCTCTGTTTTATATAATCATGTAAATTCATTTTAAGGTATCAAAGTTCCAAAATACTCACTCTAGTTCACTAAAAATATAGCTATGTGTTCATTTTTGTTGTTTCTTGGTAATTTCAAGTTGCAGAATTAATATGAATCCTTATAGTTGACATGTTGGAAACACCCATGTATGATGTGCCTGGAACACTAACATGATATAACACTGACCCTTAAATGTCCTTAACCAGAAACCAAAAGCCCTTGTTATGACTGTCTTCACAGTCTGTTTCCTGGAGATAACCCACTCATGTTCATGAAAAATAAGAACCAGTAATAATCAAGCCTTATTATATGGTTATGGAGGCACATAAAAATTACTTTAAATTCCAATCATCTTCAAGCAAACAAGAATAGATTTGAGAACTGCTATCACACTATTATGAGACATATTATGAGACATGCATATGTACAGTCATGGCCTATGAGTGGTGTTCTCTATTTTTACATATCCTGGTTCTTCCAATCATGTGAAAAGGAGAGGTTATTAATAGTTGATGTCTGGGTCAGCATGTAAGTGGTTAGTCTTTAGTGACATTGAAGCCTTAATACAGTGCAGCATAAGGTTTCCTTTAGTGCACCTGTCTACATGCGTGCTCATGAAGTCGGTATCCTTGAATGTCGAACAGCTGTGTGAAAAGGTGAGTGTGTCCAAGGAGCTTGACTTAATCTGGCGTTGGTGTTTGGAATTGCTGTTCAGGTTTCAAGTCTGCCAAACTGCACGCATCCTTGCTGCTTGTGTTTTTCATTTTACTCGACACAAGCTGTGGTCTGGTGGAAGGATAAAGATTATTTCTTTGTGACTGTGTTGCTAGGAAACAGCTTGAGTCTGATATATTCATAGTGGGCATGCTAGGAGCTCATTTCATCCTGTTAAGCTTTTGACATTTGCAAACACAGCGAGAGGATATTAAGGTGGAACCACTTCTCATGCCAGTGTTTGAAGCTGAGGGACTTTGAAGAATTCGAATGAAGCATTTTTAGTGATTTCTGTTCTGATGTTGTGTCTGCAGGGAAGCACAATGTTGACCAGTATCACTGAAGGGATCCTGTGCTGTCTAACTGGGAAGGCTGCCAGTCTGGTCTTACCCCTAGATTCATCTGAACCCTCTGATGGTTTTGAGTTTGTGGAGGTAAAACCTGGCAGAGTTCTGCGAGTGCGTCACATCATCCCCGAACGCCAGCCTGTAATAACAGAAGAGGATGCCACAGGAAAGAAGAAGACAGATGGCGACTGCAAAGATGATGACTCACCTGAGAATGCTTATAATGCGAGTGATTCCAGGAGCAGCGTCCACTGTAAGAGGAAGATCACCGTCTACAGAAATGGCCAGCTGGTGATTGAAAACCTCGGGGATGTTTTGCACTCTGAGATTCTGCAGTGTCAGGATGGGGATCTGGAGCCTTGCAGTACTGTCGAGGTGGAGCTGGCTGACTACAAAGAAATGCCTTCCTCTCCAGATCCAAACCCTGTTCCTCCTCCGGTTCCTCCACCCCACGGGGAACAGAAACCTGCCCCACCTCCTCGCCGCCGCCGTCGGAAGCCCAAGCGCACTGTGCTGATTGACTCAAAGAGGGTGATCACGAGCTGCAAAGGGACGCATTCAGACGTAGCGCTGTTCTTTGTGCACGGCGTGGGAGGATCTCTGGACATTTGGGGCAGTCAGCTGGACTTCTTCTCTAGGCTGGGCTATGAAGTCATTGCCCCCGACCTGGCAGGGCATGGAGCCAGCACCGCCCCACAGATAGCAGCAGCTTATACTTTTTATGCCCTTGCAGAGGATCTCCGTGCCATCTTCAAGAGATATGCTCGGAAACGCAACATTCTCATTGGCCACTCGTATGGGTCAGTACTTTGATTATAATAACTCACCAATGGAAATGTCTTCTGTGTCTTACAGCCGATTTTATATTGATTAACAGTCTGTTAGTCTGTCTGTAACAGTCCATAACATGCAGCTCCCATCCCATACTATCTCTTTCAGGGTGTCATTTTGCACCTTCCTAGCCCACGAGTATCCAGATTTGGTTCATAAGGTGGTGATGATCAATGGAGGGGGTCCCACAGCCCTCGAGCCCAGTCTGTGCTCCATTTTCCAGCTGCCATCATGTGTCCTGCACTGTCTATCTCCCTGTCTGGCCTGGAGCTTCCTCAAGTAAGATCTGCATTTGTATTAGTGATATTCTGATGCCATTTTATCCTTTTTGATAGTTAGACTTGAGTCCTCTTAACAGGACACAAGGGACAGGACTCTGATGTTTGCAAGCTTTAAGCAACATTTCACTCTCTGCTAGCACCTGAGTGGGTGCAGGGTGGTGAATCAAACACTCACAGACATCGGATTACTAGTACCACATTGCTGTAACAGAGGCCTGTACTAGAATGAGCATTGGTATATTAGTATTGATATCCATCTGACATTGATGATAATAGTATCACTACAGTTATCGGAATATGTATCTATACCAGTATCTGTTTATGCAGCTGTATCAGGGACAGATTTTGTATATGTCTTTGTATTGGCATCAATAATGATTTGTATTGGTGTCTGTATCTGTTTCTCTATCTTTACCACACTGATACCTCTGTCAGTGTAAGAACTGATAGAATACTGTTATTTCCCTGTTTTTACTTTGGAAAGCACTTTGGTCAATAATGGTTCTTTACATATGTGCCATATAAATAAAGGTTAACTTTAATTGATATCAGAATGTAAATATAAATCTTCATCCTTATCTGGATCAAATCAGTGTTGGTGCTGATATTAGATTATTCTTCTTTGTCTGTTTCTGTATCAAATAAGTATAGATAGCAGTATCAGCGTCAGTGTCAGTGCTGTATTAATATTGGTTACCGTACTTGCATCTATATCTGTATCAAATTGGTAACTGTATCTGTATTAGATATTGGTGCTGATATTGTTATGAGTATCAGTAACTGTAACTGTATCTCATTAATAACTTCATCAGTAATGGTATTAATATTACAATGTGTATCAATATCCTTATCTGTATCAAATTATTGTTGATATTGGTATCAGCACCCATATCTGTATCTGTCTCTGCATCCATATCTGTATCTATATCTGTAGCTGTGTATATATTGGGTATAATGGGGTACAACTCTATTTCATGCTGTGCTAAAACTGACTCTAGACTGTAGATCATAATACATCACTGTTAGTTGAACTTAAACATGGACAGAACAGAAAAGCTTTTAGACATAAGAAGAGTTTCAACCAGGATGCAGGAAAAACTTAAAAAATTAAACTGAAAAGTAATGCCTCCCATCTCTCTCTCTCTCTCTTTTTTAATTTAGAGCTGGATTTGCTCGTCAAGGTGCCAAAGAAAAACAGCTTTTGAAGCAGGGCAATGCCTTTAACGTGTCGCCATTTGTCCTGCGAGCCATGATGAGTGGACAGTACTGGCCTGAGGGAGATGAGGTCTACCACGCTGAGCTCACGACTCCCATCCTGCTGGTTCATGGCATGTGTGATAAGTTTGTGCCCATGGATGAGGACCAGCGCATGGCCGAGGTACAATACCACCTTATATTTAAATGACAGTTGATTTATCAAATGACATATTAAAGATAATGTGTCTTAATGTTTTTTTCTCCCTCTCTAGATCCTCCTGTTTGCATTTCTCAAAGTCATTGAAGAGGGAAGTCACATGGTCATGATGGAGTGTCCTGACACTGTTAACACACTCCTCCATGAATTCTTTCTATGGGAGCCTGATATGTCCAAAAAAGACTGTCGCAAGTTGGACACAGACAAGACTATTGCTCTCAGTGACACTCTCCACACACTGAAAACTAGTAAGTCTCTGGACAAATAACCGACAAAGAGGCTAGATTCATCACAGAACCCAGCAGATGGCCTTTTTTGGCATGTGTTCTTAAGGCTGCTCCTAGGCTGAGAGCTGTTACTAACAGGGCCACATCTTCAGGATGCGGACGGCCACTGGTGCTCAAAGATAAAGCAGGACTTAGGCAGACTGCCGACCAGAGAACGATGGAACCATTGTTAGGTTCAGAGGACTGGATGCAAATAAAAAGTGAGATTTTCTGCGCTTTTCATACCAGTCTGTGCTCCATCACGTCATGTTCGACACTATATCTGAAGGTCAAAAGGACCGTGTCCATTAGTGATATGTGTATGACATGTTTTCTGGTGAAGAACTGATTACTGCAAGGTACAAAACACTTGAAGTTCATGAAGTGGTGTGTGAATTGTCTCACCTTCATCTTAAATATTCAGTGAAGTTCTGCAGAGCTTCTGTTTAACCTTTGGAAAATGGTCTTACATCTGCTTTATGGGAAACTGGTGAAATATTTTGCTTTGAAGGATTACTGATCTAATTTTGCAGGATAACGGTTGAGGACAGCTCACAATGAAAAACAACAGTTGGTAACAGTTTATCTTAAAATGGTGACTGGATAGTAGTGGGGAATGATTTAAAGACATCAAATTTATAATGGTGTACATGCCCAGTGAAGTAAATACTTACATAATGCATATTTAGATTACATTGCATAAGAAGGGCAATCACAGAAACACCTGCCTATTAACCACATTCATACCATGTGCTTAATAGACCATCTCAGACATGACTCGCAGTCATAGCTACTGTTAATCAACCAAACCATGTTTTTCAGATTACAGCAACTTATTTGATATTTATTGCACTTTGTTATTAAGTTGGAGTCAAACTGCTTTGTGTCTTCGTCAAGCACAATCTTACCAATCAGCCGATTCATAGCTGCATGAAAACTAAATAATCCTCAGAGTAATTTATTTAAACTGGCTACAGAAGCAGATATATACAAACACGGACGCCAAAAGATTGCCCTCCTTCCTATTCCTATGCCTTTTTTGTATGGTGTATAATATCCTAAGGATACAAAGAGCTTAAGTCCTGCATGAGCTCAGAACATGAAAAGGGTTTCATCAGACACAATATATTGTCATATTGAAAAAAATCCCACTGCACTCCTCTTTAATCAAAGTTCTCCTTCCAGGGTATGCATTATTTTGCCTTTTATTTTTAATGACAGCTACTGCCATGAAAATTGTGGTTGTATAAAACCGCATTCTGTTTTTTTTTATCTGTAAGATGAAAAATACAGAAACAGTTTGCCTTCCCCTACTACTTTCCAGTGTATCCTATTTATCTACTGAAGACAGAATAAGAAAAATATGCTCACTGAAAGACATTCATCGATGGGTGCTGCTTTGTCTCATAATGGGACAGTGAGGTGCAAGGAAAAGCACAGTCTTATGTGCTCACTGGGAGTTCTTATCTGTTGGCTGTTTTGGAGGCAGATGGAGATGGAGACCGGGTGTTCAAGATTAGATTCAGATATGAGTCAGCCGAAGCAGAAAGTTCCCTCAAAAAAAGGACATTTGTACCCACAATGCTGGTCTGTTATATATGCATTTTCACAGGATGCAATGCAACATGACTGGTCTTATGCAACTGAATCAAAACAGAGAGAGCCAGAGTGAAAATAAGCTGACACCTCAAAAGTACAATATATTCTCTATGGACTTTTCAAAAACCAACAAGTGCTGCTGATGCAACGTACTGTGTGTCTCCTTTGGTGTCAGTTTAACTGTATGGACTACAGGGTGCACATGTACTTCCTCTAATGCTAAAATTTTGCATATACAAATTGTCAGTGCTCATATGTGCTATATCTTTTTGTGGTTAACAAAATGTGTAAATGTTATTGTTGCATTTATTCAAGGGAATCATAATATATGCTCTGCCTGAATGTAGATGCATATAATATTATATAGCCTATCAAACTGGTGGATTCAGTGTATGGACGTGCCTTCCTGGCATGAAATAAAACAATGTTCACAGACTACATGTGATTTTGCTCATTTGTGTATTTGCTCTATTGCAATATATAAGGCTTAGTGTGTAATGATTATAATAGTTTGTGGTTGCCTATTTGTTACATTTACACTTTTAATTTAATTTAATTTAACTCAAAGAATGCTATCGACTTTATTTTTTTTAAATAAGAGAGCAATCAGTACATCAATAAGACAATTATAAATAAAGTGTGACGCAAACAATCTACAAAATAAGACAGAAAATCATGAGGTAGTCCACACTGTCACATGAGCAGAATGATCCTTACATGTGCCAAAAAACTTACATGGACTCGTCTATTGCACATACCCTGTAGTATAGACTATATTCTGCTAATGACATTATGACCACAACAATGCTATCTTGTCCTTTTATTTGCCTGTCCAGTGTTTATACATTTAGGCTTCGTCCATTTTAACCAAGTATACTGCCAGTAGCTACAGTTTTACTGGCCAATGTGAGAGACACTGAACTAATTGTAGTTTAAAAAGTAAAATATATTTGTAAGTAATTGTTCAGCAATATCAACAATTCTTCCACCCACAAACTATATATTTTTAAATAAATAATAATCTTCCACAAAGTAATTTCTAATAAATCATTTAATTGTCTGTTCAAATCAGTTGAAAGTTTCATTATAATGTGAGAAATGAGCTGGAGAAAATCAGAGTGGGATTGGGAAACATCATCAACATGTATAAAAAGGGAGATACAGAGTTACATAAACTCACTCTACATTTTCATAGTTTTATTGATTTTTAAGTGTAAGTCTATTAAGACTTTTCAATTAAATCTTTGAATTGTCATAAATAAAGACCTCTGGTAAATGGGCTTCTATTATTTTACATTAAGTTTATTTTAAAGTAGAAATGCACACATAGTACATAATGTACATTGCAACACATAGGCTGAGCAGCGTAATAACTCCTTCATTTATTTATTTATTTATCTACTTATCAAAAAGGGGTCTAGCTCTGTTTTCATCCGTCTTGTGACGCTCGTCAAAGCCGCTCTCTTATTGGCTGAGCGTGTCCCATGCGTGTTGTGGTAAACAAAATCCGAGGTGCGTGTGTGTGCGTAGAAGTGGTAATGGAGGATAGTGTTCTAGTCACTTGGGGCTTAGTAAGCAAGCTGCCTTCTTTCTCTTTTCCGCTAAACCACCGTTACGAGTAGGGAATAGGCAAATACATCGTAGGGAAACTACGTCCGAATCAACTTAAAGTGGGTGGTAAGTACTTGCATGTCGAGTTTGCCCACGTCTGCACCAGAATGTTAGCTTCTTAACTCAAAATGCTAATCTTGAGGCTAAGCTAGCCGGAACCGATCAAAGCTAATGGCGATGCTAGCCGTCGGGTAGTGTCTATTTCCTGGAGTGGGTCTAGCTGGCAGAGTGAATGACAGTCTTATTACCTGTACTTTCTGTGAAACTCAAATATTTATTCAAAGAAGCTTCCGGGGTTCGGGAAATTTTATGAAGGTTATCTTCATTATTTGTCAAATCTTGTGCAAACGATCGTTCGGGTACTCCCAAGTTTTACCCACTTAGAGCGGATGAGTTTTACTCGTTGCAACACGGACTTTTTAGTTTCTTCAACCCAGGAAGTAGTCTTGTTCCGTCACAGCGCTAACGTGAGAGGATAAATGACTTGCAATGATTACTTTGTGATTTGTCCGAAACGAAAATAAGCTGACAAGTAATTCTCAAAAGTGTGTGTCATATTTGTGAATATAACTGCAACGTATATGGATGCAGGTTACAATGTCTATGGAACTAGCTAGCTTATGCTAAGCTAGCTACTCCTTATGGATCTGCTCTCATGCTCCTTTAGCAGGTTAGCAAACGACCCCGTGTTGGCTACTTAGCATTTAAAGAGGAGCAGAGTTAAAGAGACGCGGGCTTAGCCAATCAGGGATGGTTTGAACCCGGTCCCAGCCCCGTCCCAGGATTGCTAACTCCTCTTCACAACGAGGAAACGTGAAGAACCGTAAATGACAACAGTAACATACTGTAAAACTACACAGGCCTGTGCGTGTATAACTTTATACCGCCTCCACTGTTGAATTGAAATTAGAAACCAGAAGAAGTAATTCAGTCAATTTCTGTCTTCATTCTGTTAATACAGGGTATAGGTGGAAAATTAATGCTTTGAACCCTCCTGAAAAGATATGTCTCAAAACACTTTGATTTTGCAGATTAAGAAACAAAAGAGACACACGTCCGAAATAAAATGGGACAATATCCAAGTATTTGTTTGTATGGGAGGTTTAAGTGGGGGTACATGAAGCTTTGTAGATATCTCAAAGTATCTATCTACCTGATGTTGCATTAGGATGCTTGAGATGTAACATGAAAACTGGCTTGTGTAATGGATACTCAAAGATATGTCCAAAAAGTATTGTGAATATTTGCAGGCAGTTGCATAAATACAAACAAGTAACTCAATACAGTGTGCTTGATATGGAAGGACATAAACACAAGTAACAAATTGTACATAGCTGTAAGTCTAGAAAACATCCAGACCATGTCTCAGTGTTGACTGGGACCCCCTCTCAAAGTTAACCAAGTTCTCGCTTCAGGGGAAGCAGAACAGGATACTCAACCTTGAAGAATGAAATCTTAGAAATTTATGATTGCTTCCAAGTTGGAACCAGTTCTCGACACTGAATTGAGATGTAGCAGTGTGTTGGTAAAGAAGCTGACGTTTGACTTGAATTTTCACTACACTTGCAATTTTATGCTAACAAGCTGTTTTACTTCACTTCACTACGGGCAACTGTTATAAGTATTTCAAATCAAATGATCTGATACTCACAACCTGTGCATCATAAACAAGCTTTGCATAACACTTTATAACATATTGAATGATCTGTTTATCTGACATGTTTTCACAAACAACTCTTTCTTTTCTTACTCTATAGAAGCTGCCATTGAGTTTTGGGATGGCGTCAGATACAGCTTCTCAGAACCATGGCTCCAAAGGGATCATGACTTTTTATCCCACCGCTGAGGAATTCAAGAACTTCACTCGCTACGTTGCGTATATAGAGTCCCAGGGTGCACACAAAGCAGGCCTTGCTAAGGTAAGTGTTCAACTACGGTCATATTCCAGTTTTTGTTGTAATCAAACCATGTTTGAAGCAAAAATTGCAAACAAATCATATTCAAAGCAAAGTGAAACTATGGTTAGTTACTTATTATTTGAGCAAGTATTAAATTAGTAATCTATTACCCATCACTCCATATAGTTTGAGCATCTTTACATCATCTTGTCCAACAATACATAAACATGATAAGGCTCCAGCTGAATCTGGATCCTCAACAGTGTGCTCACCGTTCACTTTCCTCCTCTTAGATTGTCCCACCTAAGGAATGGAAACCTAGAAGCTCTTATGACAACATAGATGACTTGGTGATACCTGCACCCATTCAGCAGGTGGTGACGGGCCAGTCAGGTCTTTTTCAGCAATACAACATTCAGAAGAAGCCCATGACCGTCAGAGAGTTCCGCAAGATCGCCAACAGTGACAAGTGAGGAGCCTCATTTTCTCTCCCTCGCCTTCTCTCTCTCTTGGGTGAATGCTTGCACTGATCAACAATTTTTTTTTTGTAGGTTCTGTAGTCCACATTATGATGACTTTGAAGAGCTAGAAAGGAAGTACTGGAAGAATGTGACATTTAATCCACCCATATATGGAGCAGATGTTAATGGCAGTCTGTATGACCCTGTGAGTTGACACGTCTTGTATGTCATGGCTGTAATAAATAATCATTGGTACTGATTGGGTCCCTGAATGCTCTCTGTGCTGACACATTGAGAATGCTAGTACAGATACTGCAGATGTTTATCCGTGTTGTTGCTTCAATTCTCATCTGTCAGTTTTGTTTTTATCCGTTGTATTCCTGCAGGGAGTCAAAGAGTGGAACATTTGCCATCTGGATACCATTTTGGATACCGTTGAACATGAAAGTGGCATCACAATAGAGGGTGTTAATACTCCCTACCTGTACTTTGGCATGTGGAAGACAACATTTGCATGGCACACTGAGGACATGGACCTCTACAGTATCAACTACTTGCACTTTGGGGAGCCCAAATCATGGTGAAGATGCTTACTATTCCTGAATTTATCAGCTGTAGAAACCGATGATTCACACCTAAACTTTCTTACTTTTTCTTATCAAGTGAATCATCTGACAACAACCTGCATGATTCATTTATCAAACCAGTGAACACCTTTTCTCTTGTTTTAAGGTACTGTGTTCCTCCAGAGCATGGGAAGAGATTTGAACGATTGGCTCAAGGTTAGATGCAAGTCAAATGTTTTCTGTAGGTTTGAAGATATATCATCATTTATTATCGTGAAATGTGATGTAATTTCCTCCCTGTCAGGGTTTTTTCCTGGAAGTTCCCAAAATTGCGAGGCCTTCTTAAGGCACAAGATGACTCTCATCTCTCCTTCTATACTGAAGAAGTATAGCATTCCATTTGATAAGGTAGGAGTATTTATACACCTGGATTCCAGACAAAGGAAATGTTCTTTTTTAAACCAAATATACAAATGCAGTAGCTAATAGTTGTATTCTCTTTTACCTAAGATCACTCAGGAGGCCGGTGAGTTCATGATAACCTTCCCCTACGCATACCATGCTGGTTTCAACCATGGTTTCAACTGTGCAGAATCCACCAACTTCGCCACAGAGAGATGGATCGAGTATGGCAAGCAGGCAGTGTTGGTGAGGAACCATGACAGACAACCAAACTGGTTAATCTGGCCAGTAAGACTGTAAAGAAGTCCTCATTTCATGACTCAAATCACACTCTAACTATGTCTTTGTTTCCTGTAGTGCTCATGCCGTAAAGACATGGTGAAGATTTCCATGGATGTGTTTGTGAAGAAATTCCAACCAGATCGCTATGAACAGTGGCTGACGGGGCGAGATACGACATCCATTGATCACTCGAGGCCCACTCCAGAGGCTAAGGAGTTCTTGGGAGAGTCCTTCAATGAGGTCGCTTCCAACACCAACAGTACCTCCATAGAGAGCTGTGTGGAGGATGGAGAGCGGAAGAGGTGAGTCTTTTTTTTCTTTTGTGAATGAACTGTCTTTGCAAATGGGGACAATGAGTCAGTTCTTCTATTTGTGTTGGTTACACTGTCATGAAAACTTTAAGTTATATCAGGGAGGAGAAATCAGGTGACATCATGAGACCCCAGACCTGTCTGTATGCCTTTGCTGCTTTCATACCTTTATCATTCTCATATTTTGCATCACTCTGAACGGATCAACTTAAACAATGAAGATCCCTTTTTGACTGAGCAATGTCACTAAATATATGAGAGACCTTTGATAGAAAAGGTCCCCAGAAGAAATGTCCAAATCCATGTTTTCATTAAACATTGACCAGTGCTCTTTTCAAATGCCTTATATTTGTATTGGTAAATGCCACTGTGCTTTTCCAGAGATACACTTCCTCACACTCATGCTTTAAGAGGTGATGGCACTCACAGGTTCAATCAGTTCAGCTCTGTGGCAACTATAGCTTTGAGATTTTAATGCTAAATGTAGTTTTTTGCTTAATTTTTCTCTTAGTTTTGTTGTTACAAATATATGTTAAGTTATCATTTTTTAGAAAATTATAAAAAACATAGAACAAAACATGAGTGTTATTTGTACATTTTGAGGATCTGAAGACTGCTGGTCTGGTTCTAATCAGTTTAAAAAGCTAGCAGTAAGAAAAATGTCTTTGTTTACACTAAAGTCAGGATCAACAGGCTTATAATATATGAAAATGTTAACAGTGATTTAGCCTAGCCCTAACCCTGCTGCTTCACTACTTCCAATTCAACAGCTACTGTAATGAACGGTTGGCAGATTCCCATCTTTAGGGAGCTGCCCAGACACATACTGATAATAACAATAACTTTACTTATAGCACCTTTTTAAAACAAATTTACAAAGTGCTTTGACAGACAAAGCAGGAGTAAGTTATGATTTTGACAGAATAGGAGAAATAAATTACAAGTCATAGAGTAGGTGATAAAGATTCCCAGAAGAGAGGGGAGGAAAAGAAAGGTAAAAAGGTAGACAACATCACATTAGAATAAAAACAGACAAGAAGATGAGGGGCTGTGAGGTACAAATAAACCAACCAAAAATAAATGATAGTAAGTAAGTAGTAAGTAAAAAAATGAAGTAAATGTGATCAAAGACAGTACAGTAGGGGATCAAATGAGGATTTGCAAACAGGTGGCTCAAGCAAAAGCATTAAGATGTGAGTTTTTAAATGAAATGAAGTTGAAGTTGAAAAGTAGCTAAAAGGTAAATTCACAAAAACAAGTCTGTACAAGTGAGTTTTTAGAAGTGATTGAAAAGACGTCTCTAAATCTACACACCCTATCTCCTCAGGGAGGTTGTAGTGTAGGACCACAATTTAACTGAGAACTGTAAGGTACAGTAGGGCGCTAGCCACCGCTCCCTGGCGTCCCTTACTATGGACAAAGATGCTGTGGACTCTCACTAAATAACAGGGGAGGGACAAGGATATAAAGGGAACACCATAGACATTTATTACACCACAAACAAAATTATGCACAATTGACTCACTAAAACTTACACTAAAATATGTCCTGTCTAACTATACTAAGTCCTACTTAATACTAAACCTAATGGTACCAATGTTGCCCGGGGTTGGAGCTCAGAGGAGGACGTGAGGATTCTGATTCAGCCAGGATGGAGGTCTGTAGCGAGGTCCCGATGTTGAGGGATTATGTGATCAGGTGTCCACGGGAGATGAATGGGAGCTGTTCTCTGGTGAAGAGGGGAGGGGGTGAAGATGTGATCCAGAGGAGGAGGGGGTGAACTGAAGTCCTTAAACTGGGGCCAGTTAACGTTTGCTGGGATACGAAGGACAATGACGCCGCTAGCGAGACCTAGCTAGCCACTGTCGGGAAACGAGAGCTAACATTAATCGGCGAACTAACTTCAGTTCAAAGTCCGTTTGTTTCCTCCTTTAGGTATAATCTTCACAGGTCTAAAATAACTTGTTGTGCGGGTTATTAATTACACGAAACTTCACCGAAGGCATGAATCAATGTACATCTGTTGGACACACGAAGCTGCTCCGATCGTCTTCTCTTCTCAAAACTTTCTCCTCTCACTCTCACTCTACAGGCTGACACACACACTCGCACCAAATCACACGCGCACTGATACAAACATATCAGCCTAATTACAGCAACACTGAAAAGGACGTATATCTCCGCTGTATGAATGACATCGGGCACAACAACAACAATAACAACTGTACATCGCTGCAGTAACAATAATAAACAAGATCTCAAATAACAAACCAGAAGTAAAGAAGAAAGAGGGCTTAACTGGGCAGGGAGCAGTGGGAAGCCTATGTTACTGCTTAGAGGGGTTCTCAAAGTAAATAATAAAACTAATCTTCTAGCCACTTCTGAGTCTTCAATACAGAGGTTGTTCCAGAGTCTAGAGACTCTGATGGAAAAAAGCTCAGTCTCCTTTAGATTTGAGCCTCGACTTTGAAACGACCAGCAGCTGTCCCACAGTCTGAGGATGTCAGACTGAGGTCCCTCTTAAATTCTTGTGTGGTGTCATTGAACTAGGCTGCTGTGATATAGGAGACTTTGATTTTAAATCGAGCAACAGAATCCAGAGTGTTCCTGCAGATATGATTAAATTGGGAGACCATCTCTTCAGTGGTATAATTTATGTCAAAAGCAGTTCAAGAAGCAGCATTAAAAATCTCTGAAAACCTGGTAGCAGACGCAGAATTAAAAATCCAACAAGAGACTGTAGTGCTATTAATAACAGACAGGATAGATAAACCACACTGAATAAAACCAGTTTATGATCTGACACACAGATATCTTTGGTATCAAAGTTGTAGGGGCTGAGATCATGATGTATAACCAAATCAAGGGTATGACTTTTTGAATGAGTGGGGATGGGAATTGCTTGGGTAATTTAAAGGAGTCTAAAGTATCCATAAAATCAATCAGAGGGGCAGCAAACATGAATTTTAAAATCACCTAAAATAAGATCTTGTGATTAAAGAACTCAGAGAATTCTTGGATAAAAACACAGTTTGGCTTAGGGCGGTCTGCATACAGTTAAAATTAATGACCTGCTGCATAGTAGCTGGTAGTGTTGGGCAGGACATACACTGTGAAAACTGAACCTTATTCCGACCTGACTTTTTAGCTGCACAACTGATGATGAAGCTGAACCAGATTTCATATGGATGCAGCAAAGTTTACCACGCTGCACAGTGGGGTGTTGTGGCTGATCATGGCCCAATCAGCTGCTCCTGACTAGTTGAATTACTGACATGTTAGACAGTGAAAGCAGACCCCGAGCTCCTTCCTGAAGTTCAGAACTTTTTCCCTTATTCCGCAGATGGCGCCTGAACGCCCCATGACATTATATCCATGACATGTCCCATGACACGTCACATGATGTTGACAACTGAAATATGTTCAGAATTACACTGATTAGACTTTATGTACAGATCACCTGTGTGATCAAATAAAACAGCTTTACCAAAAATTCTACTTTTACAATGCTACTTAATTCCTGTTTTTATTGACACATCAGAAGGGCGATTCTCAGGTATTAGACAGCTGTAGAGTAAACTGGATGCACGCAGTATTCATTACTTTTGTCATTCAGTTGTTTTGTCTGAATAGGTTTGTTTTTAGATACAGACTGAACTGGATCAAATCACATGTGACTCATTGATCAGAATTCTTTTGTTGGAGTGTTTTCAGCTGGCATGATACATTTTTATGAATGAAGCTAATGGCACACCTGTGTCCTGTTAGTCGTTATAATTGAGACAGCCAGAAACTTTTTCTGTCAAGTGAAACAATAACTTTCATAGTTAGTAAAGTAACATTGAACTCTACAGCATCTTGATGTCACCTCTGCTCTGTGTTTCTGTCTGACAAACTTTTAGTGCTACACAAAGGATAGAGACCAAAAGACACAGAGTCTGTCTCGATGTACCTGACGAGGTCGTTCCCAAGGAGGAAGACGATGAGGATATGGGGCTGTATGGGAAACGGCCAAGGCTTAGCCTTATACCTCCTCGCACTGTGCCACAGGATGGAAAAAGAAATAAAGGTATTTACACTTTTATGCCACTGTACGGCTCTAAAGTAGAGAGTTCAACATGCTTTCAAATGTTCTATTGTGAAATTAAGATAAACAAGAATGAAAGAGTGTATTTTTCACCATCTCTTCTAAATCCAAGACCTCTGCTTTAACTTACAGGCCCACCCAAATTGGTTGTCACACCGACCAAGCTCACTTTACTGGATCCTTTTCACAGGGGCTTGAGTCAAAGCAACGGGGATTCAGGCCGCCCCCCTCACTATACCAAGACTCGTGCTCCTGCAATCTCCTCCCTGTCCCAGCCTAGAAACGGGCATCTGTCAGTTTCAGTTGCACCTTCATGGTCTGATTCCACGACTACACCTGCCCGCAAAATGGGAGTAGCCAGTCTACTTTTCCACAGGACTCTGAGTCCAAAGGACACTCTCCAGGTGCACAGCTACACTCTAGAGAAGCAGCAGCATCCACACACTCAGCTGCAAGTGCACAGCTACGCCAGAGAGCATCAACCACGCCATCTCCAATACAAAACCTGCACACCGTCACACACACAGGTTCAGTCCTCAGCGCTGGCTCCAAGCTGTGCAATATCAGAACCTCGGCCTGAAACCAACAACATGAATCCCAAAGTAGAACTGAAAGAACCAGAAGCACCGCACCGTGTGGAGCAGCAGGAGGAGCAGCAGGAGGAGCAGAAGAGTCAGAAGAAGGAAATACCCCAATCATTGCCTGCTATGATTAAAGTTGAGGAGATAAAATCTGAAGAGGAGCCCAACAGCAACACAAGCGTTACTCAGAATCAAACACAACACAGCGAGATAATCAAAGCAGAGTTGGAGCCTCAGAAGAACAAACGAAAGGTTTGGGTTTTTATGTATTTTTTTAAATATAGAATGAAAAGATTTTTTAAAGAGCACTGCTGCCAAAGACATGGTACTTCAAATGAGTTGTTAAATAGCTGCCTTTCCTCGCTGCATGAATTTTCTCTGCTAACACAAAACATCGAGATCAACTGCTGAACAAATATAAACTTCAGTTTATATTTGCATGGCCTTTCTCTGTTTTACTGTCATGCATGAAGGCCACTCACATCAGACTTATTGGGGTCTCTGTACCGGTGCATTTCCCTTGCATGATGTTTGCATACTAATCTCTTTGAGCTCTCTGTTCAAAATGATCATCATACTAATAGAGGAATTGTGTGTAACTCCTCTGGCAGAAAACACTTAATTAACACGACTTTAAAGTCTGCCATGAATGTTGAATATTATCGATGCTGTTCAAACTACAGAGTTACCAATGCCCCCTTGTGGATAGTGGCATTGTCATCGTGAAAGACACCATTCCTGTCAGGAAACCAATTTGCGATGAGATGAAGGTGCTCGCTCACAATCATCATGTAAGTGGATGCTAGCTGTGACCGAATCCCCAAAGGGATCAGTAAACCCATTGTTTAAATGGAGATGTATGCATACCTGTACAAAGCTCCCAATATGCCTGAAAATTCATGACCACTGACGCTCTTTGTTGCTACAGGTGCTGTGCACAGTATCTCCTGTTTTTGAGGTGTTGTCTAGCTGTACTCTTGTTTCTCCAGCAGGTGTCAGAAGAACAGTCATACTGCAAGTCAGTAGTGAAGAAGCAACAGCAGCAGGCAGAGCTCCCAAAGCTTCCCCGTCATCACCCTCTAATCAGGGAGCTGCACAGTGATGACGGTGAGCAGTGTGTAGTTCATTCTAACAGAAGAACAAAAATATCCACTACTTTGTTTATGACCTTTTCTCTTGGATGATCATATTGACAATTTCTCTTTTTTTCTCACAAACCTACCATGGCTGAATTTCCTCTTCTCTTAAATTCTTCTCTCTCCTCTTCATTAAAATTACACATCTGTCTGTCATCCCATGATCCTATTTGCAGAAAAGTATGTCGATGTAGAGGTGGAGCAAGAGGAGAAAGAGGAGTGGGCAAAGCCGCTAGCCCAGCTGTGGCAGTGTCGGCCGTATAACCCTCAGGCGGAGAGAGAGTACAACAGGGTAATGGGTCAGCAGGCTCCCTACTGCTCCATCTGCCTTCTCTTCTACACCTACCATCAGGTGAAAACCCTCAAGATCTAATCGTATAACTGATCTGTTTGTTCTTCCACAGCCTGTTTATTAAATATTTACAAATGAATTCTAGGCATGGACTCACATTTACAAGGTATAATCTCTCTTAAGTTAGTATAGAAACAAAGATATACAGAAAATGACAACAAACAGTACAAAGATCAAGAAAAAAGTTTAAAAAAAAAATACATATTTGAATAAATACATAAGGACAGCAGCATCAAATATTAATCGTAAGGTATAACTGTAGGTTTTGTCTCAGTTTGAACATTACTACGATACCTGTTGTATCATTCAGGGATATCTGCAAATCCAGCTCCTGTTGAGCTCTGTAATCAAGGTATCCACAGGGTAGTAAAAGGTTGTAAATGAAATGAGCCCAAGTTAAAGCCAGTAAAAGGTAATAAAAGCTGTTTGACTTGGTAGTAAATCTATTATCTATCTTTTATGACTTTTCCATTGATGCAGAATTTTAATTTTAAGTTAATTTAATAAAAAAAAAAGAAAAATGCGTGTGTTGGTAGTAAAGCATTCTCGAGGTAGTAAAAAAGGTTGTAAATTCAACTCTAGGATTCCTGTATAAACCCTGGTAGTTCAACTCTTTTCTGCCATACTTTTGATCATTCAGAGAGTTAGTTAGTTATATTCTAAAGAAAGAATACTTATGGCAGTTAACCCTTGAAGCAAACAGAATTTCAAATATTCCAGTAATTTTTTTAATGTTTCAAGTGTTGCTGGTCATAGCTATTGTACAACAAAACTCTTGTATTTTCAACAATTCAGTATTTGAGTCAATCAATCACCTTATTCATGCAGCCTGTAAGGTTTAAATGTTAGTTTGTGTGTGTTTGTGTGTGTGTGTGTGTGTGTGTGTGTGTGTGTGTGTGTGTGTGTGAGTGTGTGTTATAGCTTATTGTTAATAAAATGTACAATGTTGAAAAAGCAGAAATATACAAAGTGGTATCAAAAGTATGAATATCATATTAAAGCTGATAAAAAAATTTTTATTTATTTAATATTTATTGAGAATAAGCATTAAAGTTGTTGGAAAAAAAAGTCTCATAGATTAAATTTTCATAATAGTGTTGTAATTGTGCTAATGTTGTTTTTCATTAACTGCCAACTGAACGGTTCAAATCTTTTCCAGTGATTTACAACTGACCATTAAATTTGTTGCTCATGTTAGAAAAATGAGAAATAATGAACTGACATGCCCCCTTCACATTTCTGTGCCTCTCTAGTCGGAGTCCAGCACTGCAAACTCATGTGTGACGCTGGTAAACCGTCCGGGGGGCCACCAGTGGTCCAAGCCACTCATCCCTGAAATGTGTTTCAACACCCAAACCAGCAAGTCAAGTGAATCCAGCAAGGGGCAGCTGTCCAACCCTCATGTAGCCGAGGATGGGACCAGCCGGCTGGTCAGCTGTGCTCAGTGCTGCGTCCGTGTACACACAAGTAAGCCTACGATATTTCTTATAGAGGGGTACAGATTAGAACAGATTATTTCTCTATTTGGTCTGATGAGTCACATTTTCAGATATGACCATCTAGATAAGGCGCACACACTTTTGCAAATACTTGATAACAACAATGATTAGCCTGAAATCTAAACTGCTCCATGCTCATATTTCACTTCCTTTTTTGATTTAGACAAGACAGCTTTTTGACTACGCATGCCAAGCATTTCCTACGATCACAATGTTTAGACTTTTTCATGCATGTGAAAAAGCAAGAGCAGGAAATGAAACCACTGCGTGCACACAGTTTATTGATATCAAAAATTTCCCCGTTCTCTTCAACAAAAATCATGAAAATCAAACTCAAGAGAAAGACGCTCACAGTGAGTGAGTGAGTTGTTCCTTTCTGTTCCTCTTCAGGTTGTTACGGTGTGTCCGGGGAGGGAGCAGAGCTGGACGATTGGCTGTGTGCTCGCTGTGAAGCTGATGCCGTCACAGAGGTTGGTTTACAAGGCTGTTATTGGAAGACAGTTATTTTTATTTTAAAAATCCTTTGTCTGTAATGAGTAATAATTTTCATCATAGTTTTTGTCAATAGGCCTGTATACAGACAAACATGAGACAATTAAAACTAATTGTAGAGGACAAAAGTTATGAAGAAACGTACCAGCGCTTTCATCAACAAATAGAAACATAACCCAAAAAATCTCTATCAAAGAATCAGATATTAAACCAGAACTAATGTAGCTGTGTAGAAGGGAAGGGTGAGGTGGGGTGGGATCCAGTCAGAACTAGAAGACCTTGTCCTAATTTCGGGATATGTTGGAGAGCATATTGAGTCAGAAATTTGACAGTTTTCATGGACTAAATCCTTGAAGATAAAGATGCAGTCAGGAGTAGACAGAGCTTAGCTTATGTTCAGTGCCTTTCGACCCAGGTACACTCAGGCGTAAAAGTGTAATTCAGAACATAATGAGCACATAAAAGTGTGTTTATTACACTCTTGTCTGAAGTCTACGTCATTGATTAGTGGCAAAACAGGATTTTTCTCTTTACTCGAAGGAAGAAACTTTCCTCTTAATTTGCCTCTCTAACAGCTCGGAGGAAGAATCTTGTCTACATTATCCAACTAAAGCAAGAAATCCGATTTTACACAAGTAAAAGCATTATGAAAGCATAATGTTCCTTTACAGATCTGGACTTTTGATTCAACCTTGAAATCTCTGGTTGATCAGCTTATTGAATCAGTTTAGACACATTTTGAAATGTAATGACTTTTTAACAGCTGAATCTAAAACGTCCTGGGTTATCGTCTCAAATCAGGTTGTGGCTAAAAAGACATTAAATGTGACTTTGACTAATAGGTCCTCTGTCCAAACACTAAGATAAAGACTTCATCTGAAAAAGCTGCCAAAACTCACATTGCATCACAGTAACAGAGCAGCAGTGTGGTTGAATAGCTCTTCTGTTTTTTCTTTTTTTTTTTTTATAAAAATGTGTGCAGGTAAGGCTGCTGAAGTTATTATGTAATCTTATTGCACAATCCAGACTATTTGATAACCCAGCAGAACTATAAAAAGTCTGCTGGTTCTGATCTCATTGTTTCGATCAACTGAGCCCATGACCCCACCTTTGCACTCTCAAACTGGGCTCTGCATGCTGCTGCTTCCTTTGTTCAGACAGTGAGAGTGTTCCCTTCCTTTGTTTATCCTGTTTGAAGAATTGGTTTTCCTAAATTTTGTTTGTAAAATGTATTTCTAAATTTCCTTGGCTTTCAACTCTTTGGTCTGCTCAGAACAATAGATTGTTGTTCAGAGAGATTTTGGGAATGTGGCCCAGGCTTTGTACAAACACAGTTTGACCACAGGTGGGCATGCGTCACTTTAGATTTCAGTGTAACAGCTCGGGGGGCTTTGGCTCCAAACTGTTTCTATCTTAAGGTGTTGGTGCTTCAGGGTTTGCCATCAGTCCTAGTGTTATAAAAAAATCACTTTTTTGTTCCTTATCAGATTATATTAAATCACAGGTTTTCTCAGGGTTTGTCTCGTTCTTTATATTATTAAAAAGGCTCAAAAATATGTTGTTGTTCTGATTGTTCACATGGTTTTACTTGCTCTTTTTGATTTCTAGCAGATATTTTCTATCCTCTATGAATAAATTATCTAACTGAGTGTCGTTTGTATTGTCCGTAAATTGGAATAGCATTGAGGATTAACCAGGATTTCAACAAATAAGATTTTAATGTTGGATTAAGTTAATACTCTGAGAATGTCAGTAATATGAAGGCAGTGTTACTGTTTTTTGTTTTTTAATTCAGACCCAGTTTTTTTGGCATTTCACGCCCCTCTTGTACTTATATTGCAGAACCTGTTGGCTTCTGTTAAAATGTCAGTGAGCTGCTCTTAGGCAGGACTGAACCTTGCACCTTAAGAAGCTTTGAATAGGTGGGGACTGGGTTACATGAAGTAAATGGATTAAGTTTAAAAAAGGAAACAGATTCCTTTTTGGGTCTTGGTTTTCAGTTTCAGTATTTCAGAGAATAACTCATTGTTTTTTGTCTGTTCCTCAGGACTGCTGTCTATGTTCCCTGAGAGGAGGAGCTCTGCAGAGAGCCAACGATGACAAGTAAGACACTGTGACTGACAACAGTAGACTTCAATTTGGGCACCAACTTTTCCACTAAGTTTAGATCAGAAGCTCTGTCGGAGAAGTTACCAAATCTCAGAGCCTCATGACCTAAACTTGGGGATTCCTTTGTGTTTTAAATGTATTTTGCTGATTGTTCTCAGAAAATTACAGCATGTTTACATTTTTAGTGTTGCTGATATTGAAGATGTTGACAGAGGTCAAATGCTTTGTAGATCTGCAGATTTTGGAGGTTTCAAACAAAACGTCAGTCCGTCCTTTTCCCTTGAATTTTTGTCTTGGCACAGTCATAAACTTCCACAGAAAAGGTCACCATAAGACATTCAGACTGATTTCCGATTTACACAAAACAGCACAGACATGGTGGCTCTGATATTTCAGTACACAGCAGGTTGTTATGCCTCTGTTTCCTTTCCTTTGATCATATCAGGCGCTTGTGGGTTTTTTTTCTCAGCTTCTGCTGAAATCAAATTGCTAAAACCTTTGAAGCAAGTTGCATGTTTAAAATGCAAACATGCACATGTAAAGCTACATGCAAACATACAACCAGCCCTTACATTATGAATGCAATCTTATACAACCCAGTTTTTGTCAGCATTGATTATTGCTCTGGACTGTTGAAGTTGTGGGTGTTGATGTTGGAGTGCAGTGTGTTGAAAGCTCCCCCATATATTTTGCACCCCTAATGTTTGTTAATACATCAAATAAAAGGAGTGCATGTCAGTCTAACACACTCAAGTACTCCACCAAAGTCGAATGATCACCTGTTTGATCATGAACTGAAAAGTCAAGGCTTCCTGAAAGGAGAAGTTATGTCAGAGCTGTTATTGTGGATGTTATTGTGGCATTAGATTGCCCAGTGGTTCATAAAGTTATGGCTGGTTGATGTGTGTGTGGTTTGTAAATGTGTTTGCAGTGAGCGGTTTAATGCAACTGCAGGCTGTGAGGCACGGAATATAAATGTCAGTCGAAATGACAGGAAATGCCTGTGTATCTTGAAAGATGTATGAGAGAGAGAGAGATAGAGAGAGGGCTGTACCCAACAATGGCATCTATGTCTCATTCAGAAAAATACACCAGATCAGCCCCAGCGTTTCTCAGTTTCTCGTTTTCTTCATAAGAACTAAGGCAAAAAAAAAAAACAAGTCACTGGCCGAGCTCTGTAACCTTTTTGTTTTTGTTTTTCAAATAAGTACGGGAATTCAGAGGAATGCTTTTTAGAAACTTTGTGCCCCAGACATTGAACCATTTGGTCTGACTCTTGACTCCTGTTTGCTTTTCACACAGGTGGGTTCATGTGCTCTGTGCCATCACTGTGCTGGAAGCTCGCTTTGTAAACATCACAGAGCGATGTCCCATCGACCTCTCGTCCATCCCACTGCCACGCTTCAGACTGGTAAGACTCAAATACAGCTGTCCGTGTTTCCTTTGACTGGGGATGAATTTACACCCTTAAAGAGATATATCAGAATTCATGACATCGTTATCATAAAGTGAGTAGATCATGTACAGCTTGAGTTTTTTTTTCCAGACAGTTCAAACACAGCATGTCCTGTTTACCATTTACATAGATAACACTGAGGTCTGTTCAGTGATAACGGCCTCTGGTGATGGCTTGCTGAACAGAAACATCAACACTGCACATGCATCACTAAAGATTGTGCAAAACCAACTACAACAAGTCCTTTAGACTCTTGATAAAACCAGGTTTAAAACATAACTATCAGGGAAGCTGGAACAAAAAGTTCTGATAGCGTTACCGTCGCACATGAACAAATGGACAGTTGTTTCGGTAGTGACAGGCTGCAGAACCAAACAACTCAATCAGGGATCTACATGTACTTCACAAGTTAAGAGTTGCCTGCAAAAGATGGGCCACACTGTCGACAACATACACACAACATACATTTCCTCCCGTACCACAACCACAGTTACTGTGTAAGCCATTGTGGTTGATAGGTCCTCTCCATGCGAATTTTGAGTACAGAAGCCCGTGATGGAGCAGTCGACCGACGTCAAGTGTTGCATGCACATTGCAGAAAGTTGTTTTCTTTTCACCATTTCACTGTTAGCTTATGATACCACATAAACCCAACGCTGATGGGATGTGGTAAAGTCTTCTTTCTCTTTGCTGAGTCTCTGAGTCGGTTGATTTTACAGATGGAGAACAGTAGATGCCTCTTTGTATCAGCTTTTAACAGCAAATACTCCTCACTATGAGTGCTTTGACTGTTTTCCTCTCATCACGATGCTTTTCTTCTTCTCCTGTGTAATATGGGTCAGGTCATGGGACAAAAATTTCTTTTACTAACCACTGGCCTGTTTGACCCTCCCTCAGAATGTATATCTGATCAACGGAGCTGCAGTCAGAGCTCCCGGTTGTGGTTCCCACTGAGGATACACATTTCACCTTCAGGAAGTAGTGTGGTGCTTGTGGGCTGTTCCTGCTCAGTTTCACTTCACTTGTTTTTCTCTCTGGATGTTTGCAGATAACAGATGCTAGTACTCGCACATGAAGTACCGTCTCCACTTGAACCATGTCTCCTTAAGAGAAAAGCTCATGTTACAGGGTAGAAAACAGGTTTTTATTTGAGGCTGGAGTCAAAGTCAGACAGTACGAGCTAATCTCCTACTTTGTCTATCCGTCTATAATCAGTCTTTGTGAAATAATGCAGGACAGGGTTCACTTCAGGTAGCCTAACTCCATTGTTTGAGACTGTGATCTCAAAGCAGGTGTTTTTCAATGGATCAGCTTCTAAAAAGTTCATATGATGTCAAAACCTTTATAAAAGTAACAAAAGGAAGTGGTGTCATTTCCTGCTAGTGTGTCTGTGTTCCAGTTCGTGTCTGGGTCCGCTTGTATCGCTCTGCCTTTGACATTTTTTTTCTGTCTCCCTCTCATCCTCCCCACTTGGCTCATTTCCTTTCTCCTCCTTTCCTTCCCCTCTATTATAACCTGCCACTCATAACTTGTCCTCTTGACCCCTCTCCCCACCTCACGCTTGTGTCTATGTTGCTCCTGTAGAAGTGTGTGTACTGCAGGAAACGGATGAAGAGAGACGCAAAAGGCTGCTGTGTCCAGTGCTCCCATGGGCGCTGCTCCACCGCCTTTCACCCCACCTGCGCTCAGGCCGCTGGTATCCTCATGCACCCAGACGACTGGCCGTTCATAGTCTTCATCACCTGTCATCGACACAAAACACCTGTCCTACCTGAGGTAACCCACAGTCAAGCAAATGATCCAACACTCTCTGGTCTGAATCTCTGAGGATCTGTCTGTATTTGGTTTTTCTGTTTTTCGTGAGGAAAGAGGTTCACTGGAGTAGGGCTAAGCGATATGGCCTCAAATCAATATCACCATATATTTAGCAGTTCCTCGATAACGATAAATGGACGTCAGCTGCTCCAACTTTTGAACCGTCCTCCATCTCCTCACCTGTTTTTCCCTCTTTGTTATGGACTGGATGAGGTGGAGTCATGTCTCCAACGTAGGACAGCGTCTTAAAGGGACATAAGGCCATAGCCTAGCTACTCACATCCAGAACCAACTTTTATTTAATTATTTTTTTGACACTGAATATACCGATATGGGCAAAATGACGTTGGTCATTGTCGTAAATTTTTGTACATTTTTAGTTTATCGCCCAGCTCTACACTGAAGGGTTTGGAGGAAACATTTAGGTTTTTTAAACTTAAAGGTCCTTATACACCAGGGCCGGCATGAATATAGAACGGGAAATTACGAAATATTCGGAGGTGAATTTTGACGTACCTGACTATACACATCAAGCCTGATGCGATTTTGCGACTTTTCAGGGGAGAATAGGGTTTTCCCGGGGAAAGTCCCGCCTCCTTCGCCTCTGATTGGTTAGAAAAGCTGGAAACATCATCACACGCTCAAGCCAAACGGTCAGCACTTCTAGCCAATCAGAGGCGATAATATAAGCACATGAAACTATGGTAACAACCATTAGCTTACGTTAGCACAGATGAAAGTTAAAACAAAGATTGTCCTACCTGTCCTACAGGTTGTTATCTTTGTAATATTTGTGTCTTATATCATAAAGCACTCTCTTCTCAGACACGTAAACAATCAGCCGGTCGGCCATGTTGAATATACCGGTGAATCAGACGTCGCAACAACACGCAATCTGACTGGTCAGAAGTGGACACACAGTATGCGAAACTTTAGAAAAATCGACCATGATCTGAAAAAATAAATGCCGCAATATCACAGAACGGGAAAACGCTGCTGATGTGAACGCTTGTATTGACATGATACGGGTTCGAAAAAAAAATATAGACGTCCGAAATAATCGCACAGTCCCGGTGTGTAAGGACCTTAAGAGTGATCTCTTCTTCTGCTTAATGAATTAATTGCTGTAGTTATTGGCCGCTTGCGTTACTGTTGAAACCAGTGCAACATGTAAACACATCCCTATTAATTCTCTACATTTTTCTTACGTTCCAGGAAAGATACTTACACGTCATCGACACATAGATGAATGCGTCTGTCTTGGTGTTGCTCATAGTTTCTGACAAAGTTCTCTGACAAAGTGGATGTTTTTGATGTTGTTGTCATTGCACCTAAGCCACCAGCTGAAAAAGAAATGGTTGAAAAAACTTTTAAAAAACTTCCAGAGGGATTCTTACTTTTGTTCATGTTGCTGTGATTCTCTAATTGAGGGAGACAGGCATCTGTTTGGTCCTGTCTAGAAATATGCAGCCCTGACATTATGCAAGAGGAGCTTGCTTTGAGGGTTTCTTGTCTGCTGTTGCTGTGTCGAGCTATGTGATTGCATGTCAGGGCTTGTTTTTGTTGCTGCTACACTTCAGACTTTTTTGTTCAGTGGTGAAGAACAGTGTAAACATGAGGGACAACATGTTGTTTCAAGTAGAACAGCAGACTAACCCTGGCTGTTTTGTTTCTTTAGACTTGTGCATCCTCAGGCGCTGCCAGCTCCTCACCTTTGTTGTCGCCATTAGCGCTATAGAAACATAAACTCTGAAAAGTAATGCTCTCTCTCTCTCTCTCTCTCTTCCAGCGTACCAAGGCCTCTCTGCGAGAGCTCATAGAGGGCCAGAGGGTGATCTGTAAACACAAAAATGGTCGTTACTACCAAAGCGAGTTGCTGGAGCTGACCACCGCCACCTTCTACGAGGTTTTGTTTGATGACGGCTCCTACAGTGACAACCTCTTCCCTGAGGACATTGAGGTGATTAGACTTTGATAAACTGACGTTTTCCTGATGACTTGCTTTGATGACGAGTGTTCTTATCTCACTCTTGTCCTGTGCAGAACCGTGATTGCGCGCAACTTGGTCCACCTGCTGAGGGCGATGCTGTTCAAGTGCGATGGACTGATGGATTGATATACGGAGCCAAGTTTGTAGCAGCGCACTCCATCCCGATGTACCTGGTAAACGAGCCCTTATCCGTCCGTCTGTCTGTTTCTTGGGTCCTGACATGCTCACACATGCTGAACTCAAACCACATCAGAAAGAGCAGACTGTGTATGTTAACCCTGAAAGGGTGGGAGGTCCAAAAACAAGGGAAAAAGTGGGCTTGCTCCTAAATATGCCCTAAAGCAGTTTGTCCTTTCATCATGTTTTATGATTGTTTTAGAGGGAAACAATGATGTGACATAAAAAGCAGCGCATTGTTATTGTTCAACTCAATTTGACATGATTCACGGCAGACTGATGTGTAAAGATAAATCTAATCAGAGCAGAAGTGAAGCAGGTCCAAAAGCAATAAAAAGACTTTGTGTGTGTGTGTGTGTGCACACTCAGGTGGAGTTCGAGGATGGATCTCAAATTTCTGTCAAACGAGAAGACATCTACACGCTAGATGAGGATCTGCCCAAACGAGTCAAATCCCGCATGGTAACTTTCAGTCCTTTTCTGTCATCAGAGAGTCTTTTTAACTTTTGTGTCAGCGATCCACATCCAGGTGTAACCTGTTGTCTGGGTTATTATTTGTTTGAAATCAGAAGCGACAGAAAGAGCTGATATCTATTTCTCATGTTGTGCTCGGTCCTCAGTCGGTGGCGTCGGACATGCGCTTCGAGCTCTTCACACAGAGCGAAGTCAAACAGACCTCCAAAAGGCAACGGGTCATCAACTCCCGCTACAGAGAGGACTACATCGAGCCCATCATCTACAGAGCCATCATGGAGTGAAGTCTGTCTCCATCATCTTCTCACCACAGAGAGACGCAGCTCCAGCTCTTCACGCGTTGGTCTCGCGTCTCTGTTTGTGGCTTCAGCTGATAGGAATGACCAACATCACCCTCCTCCTCACTTATCCCTGTCTCTTTTTCTTCCACGGCCCGTCAGGCGCCATATTTATAAACTACGGCTGGGACTTTAAAAGACATTAGTGTGCATAGCCCATCCTTTCTCATGATGTTAAGTTGTTTATATTTTCTTCCACTGTTGCATTTTTTTCCTTTTTCTCAGGAAGAAGCCATCAATGAATTATTAACCATGGAAAGGTCGGGCTGTCTTACTGCAGCAAGACGATACGTATTCTTTCCCACCATCATATAGCAGCTGTCATCTTTCACATCCTGCAATGGACAGGTTTTCTACTTTAGTGATTCTTCTTCTCTAAAGTAATTTATCTCTGTTAATTTTTATTTTTTTTTATTTGTCATGAATACTTTGCAGTGAAGAAAATAGCGCGTAGGGATGAACTCTGAGCATTAACTTGGATCAGGTGTATTCTTTCTATTCATCAAGTGAGCAAACTTGTTAATTATGAGCCAATCAGCTGTCGACGACATTCATTTGACTCAATTTGATTCCTTAAGATCCGTGTTAACCCCAAAGAAAAGAAAAAAAAATGTCCCGTTTTGACACATCTTCAGATTGTACTTTTCACTCTGTGCATCTACTGTGAAAAAAGAAGAAAACTCCACACGTCTCAAAGGCCCGAGCCTTACTTTTCACAGGGCCTGGCATCCTTTGGTATTCCTAAAGCTTTGGCATAACTCTTGTAATTAATGTTATTATTATACTTTATTTATGCGAGTGAATTGAGTTTGAAAACAAAGCTATTTTTGTCATGCCCTTTTCACGGTCTTCAGAAAACCTCAGATGTATTTATATTTATTATATTGAAAGGTTTTCAGACATCCTGTTTAAATTTTCCAGGCTCACTTTCCTGTTTTGGATAGGAGGGTGTGAATGCCAGTCTGGGTCGAGTCCCTCAAAGCAAAAAGCACTTATTGTTGTCCTGCTGAAGGACATTTAGATATTTTTGTGTGTTCCTGATGAAAATTAGCTCTAGATATTTGTAACCAGGTTATAGTTTGATCCCAAATAAAAAAAAGGTCAGAAGAGGATGATTTTCTTGTGCAGGTGTTCTTTGTGTCTGCTTGAAAATGGAGAAAAGAACTTGAGTGCAGGTATTCATTCATAAAGACAGTTCTCACCTGAGTTTTCTCTTCACATTCTCCTGTTGCTGCTCATGTCAGTTGTCTCAGCCAGAGGGCCTGCAGGTGTGCAGCATGATGAGTCTTGTGAGGTGAGGACTGCTGCTGTAATTTCAAGAGGTGGATGTGCTATTTTCTGTCCAAATCACAGCTTACAACCCGTGTAAAGTCTGTAAGACTTTGTCAGATTCACCACATAATTTTCAGGGACGAAGGCGATAGGCTTATACAAAGTTCCACTCCCGTCAGGGCAGTGAAGGCATAGGGGGGCAAACGACAAAGGAACTAGAACACAGACAGGTTTTAAATACACAATGATTAGGGAAGGTCAAACAGATACAAACTGCCATAAGGCCAGTTCAGGACGGTAAAAGTTGATTCTTATCCAGCATGTACTCGCAGGAGTTGTTCGGCACAGAGCAGTGTGACGTGTCTCAGCAAACAAAATGGCAGATCATAATACTTAAATAAATGTTCCAGGATTAAAAAAAACCCAACAAAACAGCTCAGGCTTCAGTCATAATTCAAGTGAACTTTAACTGGTATTCGATTTAAGCCTATTACAGACTTCTATGTTTTCAAAGGTGAAGGTCTTTTTCTTGTTTACATCTACCTGTGATCAGGTGAGCATACATGTCCTTCAAATGACAAACAGAGGCTTGGTAATGTTTGCAGGGTAAATTTAACAGCTGGCTTTATATCTTGGGAAGGCAGCACCACTCCTAAACTTTGTTTTTGCAAATGCCAACAGACCTTTGATGAAACATTCAAATATTTATCTATTCAGTTGTGAAAACACAGAGAGTCCACAGCCAGAGTAGCTAAATGATGATGTGGAACATAGGTGTAGTCTAGAGCAAATCAATACACAAGAGACAGGATGAGACCTGAAGAGGAGCCTGGGCGCCTTTAATGCACAGATACAGAAATCAGTACAGTTGACCAAAGTCATTGGAGGAGCCCTGACCTCTCCTTTCACTCACTGTTTATACCACTGAGAGTGTTCCTGAACATAATAGATGTGTATTACTATTATGCATCTCTCAAATGTGAGAGCATTTTTGGTGGGTTGAGTTGTGTCGGGTTAGACTAAGAACAGCTACTCAGGAAGGAAATTGGTGAGACAACGTTTGAAAGTTACAGTAACAGACTTTTCAGCTATTGTCAAGCACATTATATCATCTTCATTCATGATGGATTTGAAAGGTTGCCATGGCAGAAGTTACCTTGGTTCAAATAACAAACCGATCTCCGCCAAAAGTCAGAAGAGGTGAAAAACCAAACTGATTTATTGAACACTGAAGTGTGTACACACAAAAATAGAACAAAATGGTTGTGTTGAACAACTGAACTCAACAAAACAGAGTAAGGCCAAACCTTTAAAAGAGAAAAAGAAACACAAACAACAGACCTCACAGACTGAATTAAAGCAAAGATTTTGGTGGAGTAAGGGGTTGGGGTAGTTGTAGTGATAGTCATGGTAATGTGCAAATGTCCATAGCGTTCTGTATTATATTTTATCTGTAAATACTTAATCTATTGAGAGTTTTATTATATCTTTATTCTTTATATTTTATTTTTATTTCTTACTTTTTGATAATTTTTTTCTGTACAAACTGATACTGCTGGAATTTTAACTTCATAGAGGAACCTTCCCAAAAGAATAAATAAAGTCAATCTAATCTAATCTAATCTAATCTACAGCAATTACGTATTTCTCTTAATTCATAACTATAGTGTTATTTGCCAATTTGCCAAGACATTTGTTCATTTATACTCAATGAAAGTTTTATAAAATGGTATAACTTCTCAACTTGGTTGTACCGTAGTTTACTTGGTGATTTTTCTGAAGGTTTAAGGTTTGACTGTATTTTTCTTATACAGACAAAAAGGAGAGATCGAACTGGCCTGTTTCCAAATCAACCAGTTAGAAAAGGGTCTCAGAACAGATTTGAAAATACTCCTTTTTCTTATCTTGAGATTTGGTTGCAAAACTCACGGCTGATAGAGCTCTCTCCCTTGGCTCCACCTGCCAGATGTCTCTTCAGGTATTTCAGAAATCTGCTGGTATTTTCTGTCTCACAGAGGAAATGTTTTTCTCTCTCTGGACACGCTCTGAAGTGAGAGCATTTCAGTCAGTTTCTCTGAGGTAGACTCGTTCACTGTAGAGTGGTCATGTGTGACAGTTACAGTGCCATGAGAGACAGAGATACAGCTCTGGAAAAAAGGATCCATTTTTCAGATTTAGTTATTTATAGGCATGTGTTGGAGTAAAATGAACATTTTTGTTTTATTCTATAAACTACTGACAGCATAACTCCTAAATTCCAAATAAAAATATTGTCATTTAGAACATTTATTTGCGAAAAATGGTCAAAATACCAAAAAGGGACCAGTGTTCTCAGACCTCAAATAATGCAAAAAATGAGAGATCATCTTAATTTTCAAGGAACACATTTCTAATACTTTAACTACGAAAGTGTTCAGAAATCAACGTTTGGTGAAAAAAAGCCTGATTCACAATCACAGCTGTCATGCATCTTGGCATGCTCTTCACTATTCTTTCACATTACTGTTGGGTGACTTGATGCCACTCCTGATGCAAGAATTCAAGCAGTTCAGCTTTGATGGCTTGTGACCATCCACCCTCCTCTTGATCACAAACCAGGGGTTTTCAATGGGGTTCAGGTCCAGAGATTGGAAATTGGAAATTTTACGGATTGAAGCACTTGACGCTCACTGCCAATAAAGCCAGAACTAAACCCCCTCTTTTCCTGACGTAAAACTGTACTTTCATTTCTCTTGGCATGGTAAATATATATATATTTTTTTTGTTCCAGTTACTATAGATGTACTACTAGCACTGTTTTTGCCATCCTATTGCAACAGCATAGCGAGGACCACAGCAATGGTTTGTATTTTCTCCTTTTCTCCTTAATTAAGATTTGGTTTAGGTAATCATCTCATCAGTACCTTGTTAGGTAGAAACAGGTTGGAATTCAGGAGATTTTGGAATTAAATTATTTACATATGTAGAGATGCAGATTTCTGAAAAATTGACAGTGGTCCCTTATTTTTTTTCCAGAGCTGTATTTAGATGTGCTTTTGACATACCAAGTTACCATCGAGGTCTGTCTGATGAAGGTTTCTGATGAATTTCTGATATTTTTGGACTGCCCCACATGTAGGTCACTGAAAATGCCCACTGAGTGCCATTTCAGGTCTCCTGACGTAAATAATGCCAGTGCAACCTCAAAATCTAAACGCAGTTGTGTGTAGTGGTGAGATGTGATCTTTCATTTGCCAGCTGTTGATGAAAAATGAATACCAACATCCTGCCACTGCCTCCGTCACAGAAACATATTTCCCCACTTCTTCACCTTCCTTTAAATCTCTGATGATGAGGAGGAAGAGCAGCTGTGACGCTTTAGAGCAGTAATTTCCCTTCTTTGGGTTTTGCTGGTGGGCATTTTCTGGTTTTGTTTTCTATAACTCAGTTCTGGATTCAGTCATGCCATCTGCCCTTGTGGTACACCTGCCCCAGCTATAGTTTGAACACTTCTGTTTAAATGGTGTGAACACAAGAATAATATGGTAAAACTCTGTCAGAGGAAAAGGACCCAAAATGCAGACTGAACTAAAATAGTTTTATTAACAGAAAGGCGAGGGGGAAAAAAAGCTTACTTTATGAAGTCCAACAAAAACTTCAAAACCAAAAACATGACAGGCAGAGAAGAATGCAGAAGCACTGGAAATACATGTGGGTAAAGACGTTGACAAATCATGGACAGGCTTGGACAATGAACCAACAGAGAAAGAGGGGAAGGCAGGGACTTAGGGTTGCCAGTTCCCTAAAAAAGACACCTCACCTCACTGGCAGGGCCTGATCGCCTTCACCCTTCCCCGCATGGTGAAATTTTTAAGCCCTTTTCTGTGTGTGAAATGATTAAAATAGATGCATCTCTTTTCAGCTCAGTACAGAACGAATACTTTTGTTTCTAAATACAGGATGATTCAGTTTTGTTCCGTTTTTCAAGGGACAGTTGGCAACCCTACAAGGACTGTATACACACAGGGATATGAGCAACAAGGGAGACAGACAAGACATGGGTAATCCACAAAGGAGGAAAAACTAAGTAAGTAAAAGTTGACTCGACAAACATGGATTAATTACAACAAAATAAAACAGGAAACACTTAAAACTGAACTAAGACACTAAACTAAAAAACACAAGAACAACAACAGGAGCATGAATATAACAAACACAGGGGAACAGGAACAACAGGGAACAGAAACACTGAGGAAAATACTAAGGAAATAAAACTACAGGACAAAACCAGGAACAAACTCAACTAACAATAACATATTGTGACAAAATGATACCTGGTTAGAACAAAACCAAGCTCAAACTACATTACAGTGGAGGGAAAGGTTCTGACTTCTGCATGCCTGTGCAAAGAGACGTGACAGTCGATAGAGTAGGAAACTGACAAGAGAGTAGGGTATGGTATGCAGCAGGTCAAAATTAAACCTGGGCCACCCACTTTGAAGACTAAAGCCTCTGTGCATTGTTTAACATCAAAGCTGAATTGATGCCCCATTTTGACTTAATTTTGAGATTATCATGAGCCATGCTTGCAGAATTGTTCAAAATACATTCACTGGATATATTTACATGGAACTTTTTTGCAGTCTGGGTCCGAGAATATTTATCCATCTGACATAGGAGAGGCTCTGACTTTTTCCATAGAGCCACCAACAGATCCACATCAGATTTGAGTGTTCATTGTAAATCAGTGAGATTGTTTTGTGCACAATTAACTCATGATTCTTGCAATATTGAAAATGTATTGAAGGAATATGGTATGATATGCTGCAAATCCTGTAGGGACTGGAAAAGGATCCCGTAACCAGAGCGATGAAGAC